TATTTGTTTTAATATTCAAAAGTCATGTTTCTATTGCCCTTAGTGTACTATCGGTCCATTCGGCATATGCAGTTGGAGCCAGAGGTTGTAGGTGCCCTGTCCCATCACAAATGTATGCAAGGGATTATGAACATTGCATTGTGTGGTTATCAATAGAAATATTGGGGGAATGGACATTGAGAAAATAGCATGGGTGATGGAGATGGAGAGATAGGATTGGGAAGATTGCATTTGGGGAAATAATGCTTAGGAATGTGTTGGAGAGAAATTGCATTAGGGAAATTGCACACAATGGAAATCGGAATTGGGAGTATGGCTTGGAAGCAATTAATTGTGGAGTGATGGACATTGCTCAGACAGTTTCAGTCCACCATTTTCAACAGGAAAGGATAGCAAGGGATCATGGAACATGGAATTCAGCTCTTAGGTGCACTTTCATTCATGAAGAAAAACACAAACCATTTATCAAGCTAATTGAAACTAGCATTCAGCTTTCATTAACTTGCCAAATAACTTGAGTTGTGTTTTTCGTGAACAAAGTATTTGTTTCCATGCCATTGACCAAAGTTTGAAAAAGATAACTTTTAGAAAGCTACAAGAGCCCACATATGTCCCTTACGAGTCATACAGGGTGTGCACGACATTAGCCTGTACATTGAACAAGACTGTGGGCAGAAAACAACACACATTTGTGCCAATAACCGCAACTGCAATTAGTAGGATAAAGAGAGACATGGATAGGGATTTTCTTGCACTATAGTAATTGCAAGAAAAATAATGGTCTATTATGTTTGGAACAATCTTTTAAGTGGACGACCAAACTCAAATAGAAGTCTGTAACACGCTATAGACTACAGATCAAAAAATATCATTTTCACTTGTCCTTATTTGTCGCTTGTACTTCAATTCCTTCTATCAAGTGTGGTGTTTCCGAGATAACCAATTCCTGATCATAACATCTTTTAACAATTCTTATGTGGCAGGATCACACAAGAAATTGGAGAACTAACTTAAAAATACTTAATTTAAGTATATACACACCATTTTATCATCCAGAGTATTGTATAGGAAATTATAAATGTGAACTGTAACCACACAGGTCCCCCAGAACCAAATCAAAATATTTTTTATGTATTCTCTGAACTTTTGAACACTTTATGAAAATGAAAGCAGACCCAAATCATTTTAGAGGTTTTCAGATAAATGCATCCATTTTACAATCCACTGACATAATGGGTTTAATTTGATTGGTTGTAAAAAGCCACCCATAGCAAACATGGATATATTTTTTACTGCATAGCATGATAATGGACTTAATATCCCTCAGTGTGTTTTGAACTGAAAAAGGAATGTCTTCGTAAACACTGAAAATCCAAAGGTTCCCAAATTAAAATAATTGTAGTCAGCAGCATCTAGATATTGAAACCCACACTCAGAGCCGTAGCAAGGATTTTTGAGTATACAAGCAAAGATGCATCTTCACCTGTGTGCCTCTTAACCCCCCTTTTGTGTTTCGTATTCTCTCTTTTAAATGTCTTACCCCCTTTAGTGTATCTTTTCCCCTATTTTTCCCCCATTGTGAGTCTTACACCCCCCTTGGGTATCACTTATACCCCCTCTTTGTATCACTCTTACATCCTCCCACATTTTGTGTGTCTTACTCCCCCCAGCCCTTTTGTGTGTCTTCTTCTCTCCCAACCTCCTTGTGTCTTTTACTCTTCTCAGTTCCTCTGTGTGTGTCTCTTTTTTCCCCTTCTCCAGTCGCTCTGTGTGTCTCCCCACCAAGGCCCTTTGTGTCTTTTTCACCCCCAGCTACTTTGTGTATCCCTAGCCCAAGGCACTTCTGTGTCTCGCTTTTATCCTCAGCCCATCTGTGTCTTTCTCCCCACTCATGCCCCTCTGTGTGTCTCTTTCACCCGTTCCCCATTTCTTTGTGATTTCTTCCACTCTGCCCTTGTCCCTTAATGGTCTCCCCTCCCCTCCAGTCCCTTATTAGTCTCCTCCCCCGTCCTCCATGTCCCTTAATGGTTTCCCCTCCCATAGTGGTCTCCTCTCCCCTTCCCTCCAGTCCCTTATTAGTCTCCACCCCCGCCCTCCATGTCCCTTAATGGTCTCCTCTCCCACCCTTCTCTGTCCCTTAGTGGTTTCCTATCCTCTCCCCTCCCCTCCCTGTCCCTTAGTGATCTTCTCCCCTCCCTTGCCTGTCCTTTAGTAGTACTCCCCCTCCTTTCTCATTCCCTTAGTTTTTCTCTCTCCTCCCTGTCCCTTGGTGTTTCCCTCCCCTCCCTGTCCCTTAGTGTTCCTTTCCCCTCCCTGTCCTTTAGTGGTCCTCTCCCCTCCCTGCCCTTTCCCATAGTGTACTTCCTCCCTGTCCCTTAGTGTTCCTCTCCCCTCCCTTTCCCTTTGTGGTCCTTTACCCTCCCTTCCCTTGTGTGCCACATTACCTCTTTGGTAGCTTGGCTGAGCGGAGTGGTACGCGGATAAGGAGCTTGTTTCCTGTACCCGGCTGGGCTGACAGGACGTTGTCTCTCAGTGAGCTCTTTCTGTCAGTCCGGCCAGGTACAGGAATCAGAAGCTCCGTACCGTGGTCCACTCTGCTCGGCCACACTACACTGAGTGACTGGCAGGAGGGAGTGCTGTGCGCTTCCCTCCTGATGGTCACTCATCTCGTGCCCACAGAGCCGGTGCGCCTTAAGGCGGCCGTCTGATGGACACGCTGGCCCTGCCCACGCTGAGGGTAGTTTTCATAAAAAAGATTAGGAGACATTTTTAAAAGGGACACAATAGGCACCAGAACCACTACAGCTTAATTTAGAGTTACTGGGTCATAGAGACTGCACTGCCTTTTCTGAGAAAAGGGACTGCTTACAGTTGCCACCTCTAATGTCTGTTATTCTGAAAGCCACCAAAGGCTTCCTTGTTGAGGACCAGCAAATATTGCAGGACTGATGTGTAGCATACTCTGCATGGAGAGGCTGATAGGTTTCCGTAGAGATGCAGTGACTTATCAGGGTCGGCCTTTGGGGTATATGAGCTCAGCAACGTTATAATTTATAATTGAGCACCAGCCTTAGGGAGCAGTAAACATGGTTGGGAGGCCAGGTAGAAACTCACCAAGGATCAACTTACCCCCATCTCTGGGCCAGAGAAGGAAGAATAAACTTTAGTTTTGGTTTTTAAATTTCAATGCCTTTCTTAAAGCCTCACCCCCTCCACACTACTGCCCGTTTCCCCTTCACATAATAAAGCTCACCATTTCCTTCACACACGTGTACACACTATAGTCCCTATCCCCCACTACATTCACTACAGCCCCTATCGCTTTCCTCACACACTTCATCACTTACATGCCCACACACTACAGCTCCTGTTCCTACCCACACATGCAATACAGTCTTTATCCACACACATACACCACTAACAACCCTCTTCACACAAAACCCCACATGTAGTCTCACACACAGTCCCCGTCCCCCCCACCGTCCTTCCACGCACAACCCTACTAATATGTAAAATTACAAGTTGCATCACTACAAACATGCTATAACAATCAAACTCAGGCAGTCTACCTCCACATAAACAACACCACATGTCTCCCCTCACACCCTCCACAAATGAAACACCACAGGCAACCTCCACACACACCATCTCTAGCCCTTTGTCCTCTGGTATCCACAGAAATTAACCTATCCACATTCTAACACTCCACAGAAATAAACACCCATGTTTGCACACTAACAACCCACAAAAATACATCCTCCCACATTTACACTCTAATGCGCCACAGAAATAGACCACACTTTCACACACTGATATTTCACAGACATACATCCCCATACGTGAGGGAACATTGAGACAGGGGTAATGTGATTGTGAGTGATTAATACAGTGGCCATCAGGGGGTGGCATACAGTACTCCATTATTGTTCAGACCCTATTGCGAAATTCAGGTGGACTGCCCCCTCTGCACTCATGTGCGGCAGCACTGAGAGGAAGTAGTGTCAAATCATTTCCTCTCGGCACTCGTAACTGCGTGTGAGGAGAGGAGCCTACCATTTGCTGCCTTGTGCATGTTCATTCCCCATTGGAACAAGGGGGAGCAATCTTCCAGCTGCAAAATGATGACTATAAAGCATGTATGTGTAGAGTGTATGTTTGTATATAGCAATGTATGCAGCTAGGTGTGTCTAGTAGTGTGTGTTGTAGCATTTGTGTGTAGCAGTGCTGGTAGAGTTTATTTGCGTGTTGCAGAGTGTGTACATAGTTTAATACCTGTAAGTAAAAAAAAAATATATATTTTCATCAAGCTTTCTAATCTTTGATTTGGTGTTAATAAGAATTGGAGGTTATACTGGTGGGAGGTAATGAATGATGGGTGTAGCCATGAAGGGGATGAGACCAGGGATGGTCACTGAAGATTTTTCGCACGGGGCTGTTATTTGCCATCCATGTACAATAGCCTCCCAGTGTCTGCCTGTGGGGATGCATTGGTTTGACGGAGATCATCAAGATTGATGATCTCAGCTGGGGAGGAGGGGCGGCCACCACAAGACCGGCGGGCAGGGGGAGTAAAGGTAAGCTAAAACGGGTTAGAACAGGGGAGACCCAAGAATCTAAATAAGTCAGCTAACACTATAGTGTTAGAAATATATGTTTATATTAACTCTGCAATTATTTTAAGTATAATACTACACCACTAAAATCTGGCTATATAAAGGTTACATTTTCCTAATCTGTTATGTACCAACATTATTGGTAAGGGGAGAAAGGGACTAGTTTACCTTATCCACTTATTTCTGCATTATTTTATACAGTGAATTAGCCACCAGTAGATAAGCCCCACCCCGTTTCTCAAAATAGCCATCAGTCACGTAAAATAGCAGGTGCAACATAATATCTTGATAATAGCCAGTTTAAAAATGGACATAAATGAAAAAAAATCCTTTATAGATCATGCAGATATTTTATAAAGATAAACATTATGCAGTAAAAAAACTGGAGCAGGTTAGAGTGATGAAACACCTTGATATTATTTCTAACAGCAAAATAAAGTAATAAGTTGTACAATTACAAGATAAAAACTGCAAATTCAGCAACAATGAAAGCTTTATTCCAATAATACAACAATCAGTAACAGTGATTTATGCAAAATGTACCTGAACCGAACAAAATGCTACTACTACACAACATAAACATAAATATGATTATATACATTTACATTTTGGTAATAATTTCCCTTGAAACATAAACCGATAAAGTCATTTCACATTAGCACAGTCAATCAACATGTCAGTTAAATATTTGGTAACATGTGCAGAGTTTGTAAGCTTTGCAATCTAATTGCCTCAAACCACATTACAAAATAAGTCACACAATGAAGATAAACCTCTGTACCAAAATTATTTTGCCAAAGGAAACACAGATTCACATACTGACCTTAATTAAGACCTTAATTGTGATTGGGCAGACAAAATGCCAGTGTAGAAATGTTTGGCAATTGTTGAAATTTAGCAGTAAAGAGAAAATGGCCTGGTGTTCCAAATGTTGCTAGAATGAAAAAGTTTGGTCGAAGAGGTTGCTGAGCACTCATGGGGTATTTAACAAAAAAAAATTTAAAACAATTTTGTATTTGAAAACCTATACAAGTCACAATATTTTGGTCCGACTCACAAACCTTTATCAATGGTGTTGAAAAAAGTTGAATAAAAAAAAAAAAACTGTAAACCCAAAAGACAGGGATACCTACAATGTTTCAAATAAAAAAAATGTAAAGGCCCAAAAATGTCTAGCAACATTTTTGTACTGGACTATATAGTTTTATAACAGAGTATTTAAAAAAAAAAAATATATATATATATATATATATATATGAGCAAGTGTGTACCAGCGCTTTATTTTCCAATCACATGCTCATATTTTTGTGTTATCTTGGAAAAGTTGATAAAGTTGTATATTGGGGTAGGAAATGTCAAATACTATTGTTTTACTACCTTTCAATATAAAAGTTATTTATTATATTACTATTTACCAAGTCAGCAGTTTAAATAGTGCATCAGAACATATTTTCTTCTTCGTGGACACCTACCTACAATTGCAGGGGAATTGCAAACATTTACTGAAGGTTGGCAACACGGTTTCCAGCTTTGAAATGATTGACATAGTGGATAAAACTGAAGCAAAGTTTTTAAAGTGAAGCAATCGCCACGGAAACTAATGAAACCATCAGCAAGGACTTTTAACTGGTTACCATGGCGACAGCTCTAAATTTAGAACTTCTTCACTATTAGTGACACTTTTATTAATATGTTTCATTGTACATGTATTTTCTTTTACTACTCAAAGTGTGCTTTATCTCAGCTGTTTGTAACAATGAGATATGCATTGTAACATCACACACTAAAGCAGCAGATAAGTAAAGCCTAGAAAATTGTCTCTAGGTCCAGTCAACAGGATATGGGTTAGTGCACTTATATTTGGCATAATTACAAACACACACACACACAAAAAATACACTTTAGTCATTTAAGTACATTATGTAACCTGTAAACCAATAAAACCTGTAATGCCAACCTAAATTAAAAAAAAAAAATATTAAGAAAAAATATCATAGAGCATATAGAGAATAGATCGTCTTTCACCCACTGGCCGCCAGCACAGAGGGTGGCATATTTGTAATGCAAGGTAATGCTTTACCAGCCCGGCAGCATAATAAGGGTTAAAAACATTATTACACTTGTCCCCATTTTAAAACCGAAACATGCCTTATATTGTGAATTAAGTGTGCATTTATATTAATCTGCAGACACCTCTGAAAAATAATGTTATTCAAGTAAAGTAGATTGGGCAGTTTTGTCTTGTTAAAAATGTACTGTCGAAATGACAGCATATATATATTTTCACATTATTGTATACATATGTATTTTTGTTCTGTTTTTTAGATTTACCATTGACGTTTTTTCATCCAAATTCCTAATGACATGCATGGCTTTTATGATGGCAGAAAACAAGATAACGGGTAACATTTGCCTTAAATACCTAAAGAGAGATTTAGAATAGGTCGATATAGTGGGTAAAGTAATGGTATGTACAAGTGTACAGAAAGTCTCTTATCCAAAGTGCTTAGAAGTTTTGGATCTCTGCAATATTAGAGTAGATATCCAAGGACTGGGGGTTAGAAAATGCCCCCCGGTGTGATACTTCTTTTCCTGCGATGATCTGCTTCACGGCAACTTCTACCTTCTTCCCACTGATTGTATACTGGAAAGGAATCAAAATAGTTCAAATTAGTGTTTTCAAATAAAAACAAGATACATCCTTAGCACTTGACAGATCCTTAAAACAATCAGGATGTTTACATTGCCCTAACTGCCTATTTAAGCCTTGATTTCCCATGGAGTATACTTACCATCCCTACACTGGAAATTGAGCGAATGATGGCTCAACCACATGAAATGCTTAACATTTTCTTTAAAGCATGATGCTCATGGTAACTTCACCCACTGTTACAAATATTTCAAGATCATAAATTTCAACACAGCCAATATACAGGGAATTTTAAGTGATCACCAGACTTTGGAGTGGTGAGGCATTGACAACTCCATACTTGTACTGCACATAAATTAGTAATCCCTGCAAAGTTCTGGCTTATCCTAGTCAATCTTTTACTCTTCTATTCCTGATCTGAACGCTTCCTTCCCTCCCCCCTGTCATTTTTATGTTCTGATCCTGTTCTTACCTAGGTAAGAAGAGTAAGAGGCCACTAAAATGCCATGTTGTTTAGTGTGCATATCCTCCGTGTGAATTTGGGCAAACTTTATCATAAACACTTCTATAAAACACTTATTTCATTGTATGAAAGCTATATAAATTGACTGAATGTTTGAATGCAATTCACGTATTTATTTTAAGAAAGATGGTAAGATATTGTGTTTTAACCCTAAACTCAATTAAATCGAAAGCCCAGAATTTGTCAAAAACAGACACATATGTATTAATGTGCTTGCGAGATGTACTTCGACTTAACTTGTGAGAGCCTAATAAACCAAACACTTGTAACTACTGCAATCAATACCATCAAAAGTCAGACACACGCAGGGTGAATTCGGCATCCCCTAGGTTCAAGTAACAAGTGTATGAAATTATAATTATATACTCTGGACATTGCAAACTCACTGTAGAACTACAGATGTTCATTTTTTGTTGGTGAGAGAAGAAATTAAGATGTCTATCTGAACAAGAGCATCAATATTCACTTTATAAATTAAGAGGTTCTATGTTTGTCTATGTCAGAGATTTAACTATATGCACCGCCCACCACAAGGACTTCAGACTATATGCAAAAATTATGTTTTCCCAACCTATCTTAAAGGGACACTATAGTCACCCAGACCACTTCAGCTCAATGAAGTGGTCTCGGTGCAATGTCCCTCAGGTTTTAACCCTTCACATGTAAACAGAGCAGTTTCAGAGAAACTGCTCTGTTTACATTATGGGTTAAGCCAACTTCTAGTGGCTGTCTTCCTGACAGCCGCTAGAGGCGCATCTGCGACGCTGGATGCAAATTTCGCATCTATCGCGCAGAGTGTCCATAGGAAAGCATTTAAAAATGCCTTCCTATTGACAGCTTGAATGCGCGCGCGGCATTTGAATGTGCATTCCGCTCCACTCGGGAGCTGACGGCGGGGGAGGAAAGGTCACCAGCGCTAAGGGAGCCCGGCGCTGGAATAAGGTAAGCTGCTGAAGGAATTTTAACCCCTTCAGCCCCACAGGAGGAGGACCCGGAGGGTGAGGGCACCCTCAGGGCACAATAGTGTCAGGAAAACCACTTTGTTTTCCTAACACTATAGTGATCCTTTAAAAAAAAAAAGAAAGTTTTTTTTATTTCATAAAATGATTAATATCAAAACCCAAGTGATAAATGAGTCTAAATATTGTTCCCAATGCTTGGTTAGATTAGACCACTAGAGAACAGTTGACATTTACCAGCTTTCAGGTCCTAAAGGGACATGTAATAGAAAAGTATGGTATCACATCAGTATTTTTTTTTTTTTTTTTTAAACAGTCTAGTTTGTTTTACAAATATAGTTCATTGTTTTGCTTCGATTTTTATGCATACATTTTTTATTGTGTTGTTCTCTCGCTATATTCAAAACAATAATGAAAATTCCAAAAAACAATCTTCCATAAAAACAGATTTAAAGCATCAGTCGGCTCTCAAGAAAAAAAAAAAGCTGGGGGAATGACAAAATAATGATCAACGTGTGCAAAATGTGAAAATTCATGTGGGAACTTCTAAAGTGAATAATGTGAAATGGGAAGTTATGAAATAGGCAGACATAAAGACATTTTCTATCCCATAGATACATTAGTACGAGCTTAGGAATGGATATCAGTCTCTACAGTTCTCTGCCAAACTCATCGTTCTTTACATTAAATCTAGTGAGGTAGCATTATGTTAAATCCTGTTTTTCAGATGCTTATGACTTATGGGAAAAGGACTCAGATCATGATGAAACTTGGCAGTTCTATAATCATTCAAGGTCAGAAACAGTTGCCAAACTTTCACATAATTTGCTCAGTACTTTGTGATTTCCCTTTGAACATTTTAACTCTTACAAAGCTGAATGACTGGGCTGTAGGATAACAAAGACAATTATTTTGGCAAATCACCCATTGTAAATCTTTTTTAATGTGATAGTTTCATAAGACATACTGAAGCCAACAGGTCTTTTAACGGTCTAAGCCTAACAAATATATCTGCCCAACAGCTAGAAATGTAGAAGAGCAAAAAGCAACAAAAGGACACACAGAAGGGGGTCAACAACAGGAGAAGACATCACCGTTGACAGCTAGAGAAAGGAACCGTGGTATAACACAAGTGACAAAATAAGGTGATTTGTGTATTTAGATTGTGCAATGAACGTTTGTTCGTCTGTTTCAACATCTTTTTTAGAGGTCATATTAAAGAGGCAATCCAGGGTGAATTTAAAGCCCATTTTAGTGTCATGGAGATGATGCATATAAAAGGAAAAGATGCTAACCTCGGAACATTCCCTGTTAAAAACCATCATCAGGCCTTTTTTTAATCAACGTCTTCAGAAACTAGGAAAATCCTCAGCCAGTCACAGTCAATGACAGGAATCTCATACGCTGCTGTCCAGATGCTGATGGCCTACAACTCTCAGAATTATCTAAATATAGCAGATGGCCAGAAATTCATGAAAGTTGTAGACAACATTTTTAAGGCTGGAGTTTGAAATGCCTCATCTTTAGCTTTGTAAAGGAGATCTATACATTTTTCATAAAAACCTTTGTGAGCACATGCGCACACACACACACACACACACACACACACAACACAGAGCCCCTTGCACTAGCTCGCACAAGTGAAGGAAGCCAATGCAGGCTCCCATTCACTAACAAGCAGTTTTAATTTCTTTTCCATCAAATACGTTTTTACTGAATTTTAAATTAAAGTGGCATTGCCTCATGTATACCTTCTGACTGTACAGGAACTTCCAACATTGTAGGAAATACTTTGAGACACTGCAAATGACAGCTGACAGAAACAGGCATTTTTTGTAACAAACATGCAATAGATTTCTATGATTTGTTATTGTGCAATTGTGTCCATGCAGGATCTTGCAGTCTTGTGGGACCTTCCATAGACTTTTGTTTCGTACTCTTGAGCATGAGTAAGAGCGTACTGGTGGCACTAGGTTCATGGCATGTGAACCTGGTGCTAGGAACTGAAAATTGAGTAAATCGGAAATAGTGGTATGAAGGATGGAGAGTTTTAGGTATTTTGGTCATTCCTTTCTCCTCCCCAGGTGTTACCACTACCATCACCACCAGTGACAGTTCCACTTGTGGTCAGCCATCCAAACATGAAAAAGGTTTCATGATAATGTTGCAGTACCAACAAAAATGTGTTAGAAAATACCTGCACTGGCAGGAAATAAACCAAGCAAGCCAATTAAATTAAAATGAGAAATCAAATTAAATCCAAATGAAAAACAAATGTCATTAGCTGATAATATAACCTTTAACAAATTAATTTATTTTAATAATATAAATCTATTGAGAGACTTGATTTGTGTGTGTGTGTGTGTGTGTGTGTGTGTGTGTGTGTATGTGATTCAGTACAACCCTTCATAGAAAGCTGTAGGGGAAATGCCACTGGGTGCCTCTAACTTAGCTCCCTGTCAATCATTGTTATAAGCAGTGTCCTTTTCACCAGGCAGTCACCATAGAGTAAGCATAAAAAGAGGAGAAAACATACATAGGTTTATATTTCTCCTTCTTACTGAAATAGGGGCCCTGGTTGTGCCTGGACCAAACAGGATTGTGATGGGACTTGCTAAATCTTTGAAGGGTTACTCCAGCCATCATGGCCATTTGTGTTTCTATTTGAAACACTGCACAGTCAGAGTTATTTGTACTTGTGTGCCATGTGTTAATTACCCCCTCCCCCGCACATGTAACTTCAACAGCACAGAACTCCAGGCTGTCGAAAGTCAATTCTGTGCATATTTTACATCTGTTGTCACTGTTTGAGGTCATTTAGAGAAGTGGCAGTCTTGTAGCTGCACTAATGTTTGTTGATCACTACACTTATAAGCTACATAATAAACACTAAGCAGTTATGGTCCTTACAACCACTATTTAACAAAATTTGTGTCAGGTAACAGATCCTTTTAAACATTTATAAAAATGCTTAAATGTGTGTGATATAAAGTCAAATAAATACTAGGCTTATGTATCCTCTAACGGTGTTTTCTCTTTATATATGCTCCTTATTATTTTATATCTCTATTTTATTATACACTTGGTAGAGCATTTTTATCTGTCATATTTTTATAATTGTAACAAAGAAAACATTGTTTTTACTACGTAAAATAGCACTGTAGTTTGCATTGTTAGAGAGAATTGGAGCATACTGGATTGCCATGTAATATGGATAAATTAGGCCATTAAATTATATTCCCTACTAACTGGTTCATATGCTGAAACGCATACATTTATTCTGCACTACAAAAGGTAATTCATTTTCAATAGATCTTCTAGTCTTTGCCACTGAAAAGGTCAAAGCTTTTTTTCACATAATCACGTCAAGGTGGCTATCTGGAGGTGGATATTGAGATTACTTGCATATAGAAGACAAAAATACAGCAGCTTTTTTTTCCCTCCTCAGTAAGGTATGCTGCACTGTAGTCCGGTTGAGGAACTTTGCAGTCCTCTATCTCTAGATGTGTTTTTTCACTCTCTATTGCATAATAAAAGATTATACAATTCAGATCCGAAATCGTAGAGTATACATGGTATGTGGACTCTGTTTTAAATAGTAGACAGCCCTGACTTTACCAGTGACAGCGACACTAACTGGGCTAATAGAGTGATTTCAATGAGCGGACTGCTGCGGTTTAAATAAGCACACATTTTAAAAGTCCAGGTTTTGACATTTTAGGGTGTATGAGGATATTTCCCAGCACATTGCCAAGATGAACGTTCAATAATAAGATATTGTTCTACCATGTGTTTCATTAAGTTTGCTTAACCCCAATGCCTTGTTAAAGACACTGCAATATTTATTTATTTATTTATAAAATATTTTACCAGGAAAGATACATTAAGATTTAATATAACATAGCAACCAATTTTTAGGCAGTTGGGATTTAATCCAGTATTTGATGCGGCTGTGCTGTCTTCTGTATTCAGTGGATGCACACACTTTCAAGCACCTTGAAGTATAAAAAAAATTACAAACGATACATAGCATAGTACTGTAAATGTATTTTATTTAATCCTTATCCAATTAAGAACACTTACATTGCTAAAATGTGACACGTGTCTCCAAGAATCACTGTGCATGCACATACAATTGTGTCCTTGTGCTGTCTATCACAGGAGCTAAGAGATCAGTCCTGGAGTCCGTGCGATGCCGGGGCTGGATGCCGCTGAACACACTTTGCACCCTGAACAGTGTGTACTTCCAGGCCTCAAAGTCTGTTCAGTGGGATCCAGCTCCGGCATCTTTACGCACTCCCAGACTGATATCTTGGCTTTTGTGATAGACAGCGTATGGACTTGCTAAAAGGCTGAACACAGCAGTAACAAATACCACACTGCAAATGTATATGCCTGCACAGTGATTCTTGGAGACGCGTGTCACATTTTAACAATGTAAGCGTTCTTAATTTGATGGAGATTCAATAAAAAGCTACAGTAAGTAAAAAACGTATCTTTTTTGTATCCTTTAAGGTGATTGTAAGTGTGTGCATACACTGAATACAGGAGATAGCACAGCAGCATTGGATGCTTGATTAAAGGGACACTGAAGGCACCCAGACCACTTCAGCTCATTGAAATGGTCTGGGTGCAAACTCCCTTCACCCTTAAAGGACCACTCTAGGCACCCAGACCACTTCAGCTTAATGAAGTGGTCTGGGTGCCAGGTCCTTCTAGGGTTAACCCATTTTTTCATAATTATAGCAGTTTCAGAGAAACTGCTATAATTATGAATGGGTTAAGCCTTCCCCCTAATCCTCTAGTGGCTGTCTCATTGACAGCCACTAGAGGCGCTTGCGTGCTTCTCACTGTGATTTTCACAGTGAGAGCACGCAAGCGTCCATAGGAAAGCATTGTAAATGCTTTCCTATGCGACGGGCTGAATGCGCGCGCAGCTCTTGCCGCGCGTGCGCATTCAGCCGGCGGGGCGTAACGGAGGCGGAGAGGAGGAGGAGAGCTCTCCGCCCAGCGCTGGAAAAAGGTAAGTTATTACCTCTTTCCCCCTTCCAGAGCCGGGCGGGAGGGGGACCCTGAGGGTGGGGGCACCCTCAGGGCACTATAGTGCCAGGAAAACGAGTATGTTTTCCTGGCACTATAGTGGTCCTTTAGTGGTAATTATTGCAGCTTTATAAACTGCAATAATTACCTGCTAGTTAACTCCTCCTCTAGTGGCTGTCAAACAGCCACCAGTGGCGGATCCAGGGGCAACGGGAAATTGCCCCCCGGGAAAATAGTGCAGCTGCCATCAGTTGAGCGACCTCATTAGGGGCTCGGTCGGGTGCTGCAGCCCTTTGGCAGACCGGGCCCCTTTAAAGTTGCAGGGAGTGCTGGGAGGAAGTGACTGTTACTTCCTCCCAGCATACAGACCGCGCGGGCTGAGAACACCCAGGATGCAGCTGGGAGAGAAGACACAGGCAGCTGGGAGAGAAGGAGGAGAGAGAGAGAGCTCTGCAGCTTCAGACTCCCATCAGGCTCAGGCCTCAGGAAGTCACCTTCCTGCAAAGAAAAAGGTATTTAAGCAGAGGGGAGAGGGGAGGGTGCTTAACATTATGGAAGCTGCAATTTGTGTGTGTGTCAGTGTGTATGTTTATGTATGTGGACATCTGTGTGTGTCAGTGTGTATGTTTATGTATGTGGACATCTGTGTGTGCCAGTGTGTATGTTTATGTATGTGGACATCTGTGTGTGCCAGTGTGTATGTTTATGTATGTGGACATCTGTGTGTGTCAGTGTGTATGTTTATGTATGTGGACATCTGTGTGTGTCAGTGTGTATGTTTATGTATGTGGACATCTGTGTGTGTCAGTGTGTATGTTTATGTATGTGGACATCTGTGTGTGTCAGTGTGTATGTTTTATGTATGTGGACATCTGTGTGTGTCAGTGTGTATGTTTTATGTATGTGGACATCTGTGTGTGCAGTGTGTATGTTTTATGTGGACATCTGTGTGTGTCAGTGTGTATGTTTTATGTATGTGGACATCTGTGTGTGTCAGTGTGTATGTTTTATGTATGTGGACATCTGTGTGTGCCAGTGTGTATGTTTATGTATGTGGACATCTGTGTGTGCCAGTGTGTATGTTTATGTATGTGGACATCTGTGTGTGCCAGTGTGTATGTTTATGTATGTGGACATCTGTGTGTGTCAGTGTGTATGTTTAGTATGTGGACATCTGTGTGTGTATGTTTAGATATGTAGTGTGTATGTTTACATCTGTGTGTGCCAGTGTGTATGTTTATGTATGTGGACATCTGTGTGTGTATGTGTTAGATATGTGGTGTACATCTGTGTGTGTCAGTGTGTATGTTTAGGTATGTGGACATCTGTGTGTGTATGTTTATGTATGTATACATCTGTGTGTGCCAGTGTGTATGTTTAGGTATGTGTGTATGTGTGCATCTGTGTGCCAGTGCGTATGTTTAGGTATGTGGACATCTGTGTGTGTCAGTGTGTATGTTTAGGTATGTGGACATCTGTGTGTATCGGAGTGTCAGTGTGTGAATCTGTGAGTGTTAATGTGTATCTGTGAGTATGTATCTGTGTGTGTACCACAGACAGCGTCGTCCACTGCACTCAGGTTCCGCTTTTCACTCTGGTCCACAGTCTCAAAGGTGCTCTGGAATAGATAGACACTGCTAATCCGTCCAACAATACAAGATAATAGAATATACAGGCAACACACCAGGTACCGAAGGTGTATTTATTCGAGGGTAGAACACCACATAAAAGTGCAACTTTTCAGCCCTAGAGGGACTTAAACATGATTAAGGCCCCCAAGGGCTGAAACGTGTTCTACCCTCCAATAAATACACCTTCAGTACCTGGAGTTATGCCTGTATATTCTATTACCTTGTATCTGTGTATGTGAAGGTATGTGTGTCATTCTGTGTATGTGTAGGGATGTGTGTGTGAGGTTTCGCCAGTGTGCATGTGTAGGTATGTGTGTATCTATGTGCCAGTGTGTGTGTGTGTGTGCCTGTGTAGGTATAGGTTTGTATCTGTGGGTGTGCCAGTGTGTGTCTGTATCTGTTATTGTGTTTCCATATCACTGTGTGTGGCCGCATATGTGTACAGCCTCTATCCCCTAAACAAGAGTCCCCTATTCCTCCGCTGCAGCCTGTTTCACCCCGCTCTAGCCCACTTAAGTGCCCCTCCCGAGATTTGGTTCTGGATCCGCCCCTGACAGCCACTAGAGGTGCTTCCGGAAATTAAATGGACCTTTGGTACGTTATCTGACACTGGACGTCCTCATGAGGAATTCCAGCAGCAGAATTTTCCCCATAGGAAAGCATGCATATTAGGTCTCCCCAGGAGCGAGGGACATCAGTGCTGGACCCAGGCAAGTGACTGAAGGGGTGCTTAATTCTCTGCTATTCGGGAATTAAATCACTTTTGTTTCTGTTTATGTAGCCATAAGCACACCTCCCTGGGCTGTGATTGACACAGCCTACATGAAAAAATGGTTTTATTTTCAATCAGATCTTACACCACAGTGTGTTTATTTTCTATATTTTGCTTGTTAATTAAACTTTAATCACACACTGGAGGCTATAAACTGCAATAATTACCTGCTAGGGTTAACTCCTCCTCTAGTGGCTGTCTATCAAACAGCCACTAGAGGTGCTTCCAGAAATTAAATGGACCTTAAACTTTAATCACACACTGGAGGCTATCGCAGTCTCTAGCAGAATATTAACAGAGCAGGAGAAAAGAAATTTTAAATTAGGCACAAAGTGGAAAAGGGAAGTGTGTATGGAGGCTGTGTGAGTCTCAGCCAGGGTAGGTGTAGCTAGGGCTGCATAAAGAAAGTGGCAGGTAATAGAGCAGTGAGACTATGTGGGGCATGATAATTGGAATAAAGATGGCTTAGATTTATCTTAGAACTTTGGAATTATTTCTCTCTCTTTCGCTGGTTGGTTGGCCATGCTCTTAAGCGGTCAGGGCACCCATCCATCCTGACTAAGCTGGATCTTCATAGACACATGACAGTTTAACACCACTCTGGTAACAGAATTATTTTAACATTTTCTTCGAAGAACCCAATGAGTGTATACTTACAGGAATGTCTTTTGTTTCTAAGATTATGGCTGGAACATGCCTTGCAGAAAGTGCCACGCGTATGGCATCTTTTATTTTCTTCACCAGCTCCTTGCTGAACTCAAAACTGTTGGCCATTTTAAGGAAAAGAATGACCCGTTCCTCTCCATCTTTGTTGTATTGTGGGACACACAGACTATCAGAAACTTCTGCAAATGCTTCAACTGCAACAAGAGTTAGGAATAGACAAGTTGAGTTTCTTGCAGTAAGAATATGTCCCACTAGCTAATGTCATGTGGGAGATGGAAGGTTGCTTCTGAAATAACTGGCTAAAATATAATGAATTTTTTTCTAAAATCAGCAATTTTATAATTTGGTGCCAGTCACCAGAATTCACTGTTTAATAAATAACCCCAAACTACTGAGGAGGGGGTTAATTTGGAATTAAAGATTTGAAAGGTGTTGAGAATAATACAACTTTACAGGAAGAATAGTAGATGTTTGGAATAGACAGGGGAAGATAGATATAGCACAGTAAAAATGTTGAAGATTGCTTGGGATGTACGGTAGTAATGATAAATAATCAAAGCATTTTGACAAGTCAATAAATACTACTCATGTTGACTGTGCTTGAACATTTCTTAAAATTAAAGGTACACTATAGGCACCTAATCAACTTTATCTTAATGAAGCAGTTTTGATGTATAGACCATGCCCTGCAGTCTCACTATTCAACTATCTGCCATTTAGGAGTTAAATCACTTTTGGTTTTGTATATACAGTCCTAGTCACACCTCCCCTTACTCACACAGAGTACATTAAGTAAATGGCTTAATTTTCAATCACATGTTATGTTGCTTTATAGGTTTTTATCTCCTGATCTGTAAACTGAACTTTAATCACACACAGGTGGATCCTGCAGGGTCTGGAATGCTATTAACAAAGCAGGAGACAAGAAATTCTAAATTAAACAGAATTTGAATTAAAGCAAGTTTAAACATTAGATCTCTCTTAACAGGAAGTGTTTAGGAAGGCTGTGCAAGTCACATGGAGTTTTAACTAGGGCTGTATAAACAAAGTGATTTAACGCCTAAATGACAGAATTTAGCAGTGAGACTGCAGGGGCATGTTCTATACACCATAACTGCTTCATTAAGTTAAAGTTGATTTGATACTTGCGCTGTCCTTTTAAGGCACAATGCTGCATGTTTAGTGAAAAGTGCAGAGACTCCCGAGACTCTGGTAGAGGACCTGAGAATGAGGAACACCCAAAAATACCACCCAAAGAGAAGAAAAAAAATATATATATTTTTATTTTAAAAATTTTAATATATTTGTCATATGCACATCTTTCTGGATTGCATTCTGTAAATTGGTACATGTTGGTCACAATTAAGACTTGACATTCTTTTTACTTAGGATGCAGTTGTAGCTCTGTTAGGCTTTGCCAATGAAGTCTGTGCGACCTCATCTATCTTCTAAGCTCTAGTAATAACCCGCACTTAATATCTGATTGGGAAGAGCAAACGGGAATTGAATGGAAGCAGTGGGAGTCTAATCTGTATCTATTCTCCAGCCGTAATAATGGCTTTGTTAGTATATGCAGTCAGCAGCGGAATGCTGAAAATGTGTTTAATTAGCAAGTCCCCAAAGCAAATTTCTGCATTACAGGCCTAGGCTAAGCACTAGCCAATTCTTCCCACTTAAAATTCTGACAGGCTCTCTTTCATTCGCCTGGTTTTAATATCAGAAATATGTATTATTGAAAATTAACATTTTGTCTTGGCAGAGGAGGCAATGTAATGCAGGTCATTCTGGCTGATGAGGAGTAAATTAACAATTTTATCACCACTCACCTATGTTGTAGATTTCCGAACTACCAAATCGTACCCCATTTGGATTCAGAGTCCCATCACTGTAATAGATTAGTAGGTATGTAAAGCTATAGAACATAGAACTAAGCAAACCAACATCACATGAGGCTATCCATGGAAAAAACTTAGTACTTTGCACAATGACAAAACTTGACATTAATCATGGTAACTTTCTGTGTGTTAGGTGATGATATGCAAGGGTGTATGGCCTAGATCTCAAAGCCAGATATATATATTTTTTTTTTTAACAATTTCTCTAATCAATATATAATAAAACAACTACAACTAGGGCTGTAGACAACAATTTATTGAGAAACTTTGGAGTGTGTGTATGGTGGGGGGAGAATATTTGTGCACACATTGCACAGAGTTTGCATAGCAAGGAGGGAGCGGAATTGTTGTAATTCTAAGTCACATAGTGCTGGGGCCAACAAGAAATGACATTTGCTATGGTGTTATGGTGCTTAGAGTCACCCATTAGGTTTCACAGCAATGGCAGCCTTGTGCATCTCCATGGGGTTAAAGTAAAAATCAGATTCTCTTTCTTCATATTTACTATTGCTATCTTTTTTTCCTGTACTTTAAGCCCAGGAGCCCTGCTTCTCTGTGTATTTATTATATTTACTATTCCACCTCCGAGCAGAATTTTCCATCCATGAATTGTTTCCGACATAAACTCTCTATTCACAATTTATCTCCTACATCTAACAAGTTGATGAGTAATAGGCACAATTACAGATATAGCTGGTACTGAACTCCCGAATTAGTATGCATTTCAAAAAGAAGATTATCAGTAAACTAGAATTATTTAAAATACAGCTCCATTCTCACTTGGTTAATTGCTGTATATGTATGTTCTCAAGTACAAAGCGTACTACAAACTACATCTACAAACCCCAGAAACCCTTAGCGTGCCCACAAAGCACTCCTTTTGGGATACGTTCTGCAGTGCAATAGTATATTAAATAGGCACACTAAGCACCCAGACATGTTACAGCTCATTCCAAAGGTTGTCACTTTTATTTGTAAACAATCCAACCTAAATTGCAATGATAGAGTGCTGGGCTAACCCAAAACTCATGCTTTTGTAATTCCACTTAATTCAGACATGTAGTTTATAAGTTATACGTGTAGTAAAAAACGGGTGTTGCAATGGTCATTCACACTGGCCAGGCATTTTTAAATTTTTTTTTTTTTTTTTTTTACTGTTACAAAACTGCTTTAAAAAATAAATAAATGAAAAAATGGAGAGAGGAGGGCAACCACAGACTCTAAGCTCTGTAACCAGTATAAAGAGCCTTAAAGGAACACCACAGTCACCTAAATTACTTTAGCTAAATAAAGCAGTTTTAGTGTATAGATCATTCCCCTGCAATTTCACTGCTCAATTCACTGTCATTTAGGAGTTAAATCACTTTGTTTCTGTTTATGCAGCCCTAGCCACACCTCCCCTGGCTATGATTGGCAGAGCCTGCATGAAAAAAAAAAACTGGTTTCACTTTCAAACAGATGTAATTTACCTTAAATAATTGTATCTCAATCTCTAAATTGAACTTTAATCACATACAGGAGGCTCTTGCAGGGTCTAGCAAGCTATTAACATAGCAGGGGATAATAAAATCTTAATTAAACAGAACTTGCAATAAAGAAAGCCTAAATAGGGCTCTCTTTACAGGAAGTGTTTATGGAAGGCTGTGAAAGTCACATGCAGGGAGGTGTGACTAGGGTTCATAAACAAATGGATTTAACTCCTAAATGGCAGAGGATTGAGCAGTGAGGCTGCAGGGGCATGTTCTATACACCAAAACTGCTTCATTGAGCTAAAGTTGTTCAGGTGACTATAGTGTCCCTTTAAAGACTCTGGTGTATAGTGTAATTTTCACTTCTTGGTTTGGTGAGGACTCAATGCAGATGTTCTACAGCCTGGAATCCAGGAACGTCAAATTTAAGCATTGTTTTATTTTGTCACATTTTTTAATGCATTATCTATTTAACACAGTATGTTATGTTAAGTAGGAGTACAACCATTCTTGTTTTAAATACACTTTTAGGCAAAATACATTATCTAGAGAGATGCACCAAACACATACCTGCGTCCCAGCATGACAATACCCCCTGTTTTGGGATTTATCTTGCAGTAATCTCCATGGGCCCAGATACCTAAAATAATAGAGTAAAATGAAAACTATGAGTCAGAGATAAAATGCATATTCCCAAAGTTGTGTATTTCTCATTAGTTGCTCACTTAAAAATACGCTCATTGTCACATCCTGCTAGCTTGAAGGTGAGACGGAACACCAAATTATAGAAAGAACATGCACTGTCTTCACTTGCAGAATTTGTAAATGTGTGTGTGATTCCAGGCCTAGTACACAGTGTAATGGGCAACTAGCCTGACATCTGACCGGTTAGTTACGGTTACTCAGAACACACACACATTGCTTGAGTGGGGCAGCGACCATTGTATGTCCGTGTGCATGCACTCACAGAACGCTCCTGCAAATTTAGCAGGTTCAATGAGACAATAACAAACAGTGTGTGCTTACCGCATACAAGCATTTGGAAAGCTGATTGGGGAGCTATGCAATCTCCAGAATAACATCGGTGGAAACACGCTGCTTTCACTTGTCCGAGTTGTCTATTGCATGTGCTCGTAATACCCCTTCTCCAAAGTAAATATTTTATCTACAGCCTTCCTCCTGCATACACCAGAATGGCTGGGCCGCTCAGCGTACTGCGTTTTCTTTTTTGTGTGGGACTATACTTTCTCTTTTGGGCAACTATGAGCCCACTTTCTTTAAAATGCAAGCTCATCCAGCCATTGTTATCTACATTTGTAAATCACAAACAGGTGCTAAGACTGGCCACCGTAAACTTATTATTTTATGAAACACTTAAATTGCCACAAGAGAATTTAAGATACTGATAGTTCACTTTTTATTCTAAAAAATTGAACAATAACATTATTCACATTTGGGGGTGAGAGGTTGGTAGATGAAAATTAAAGTTAGTCTTACTGAATATGTACCTGGGAATTTAGAAAAGTAAGCTTTCTGGTATTTGCAGCCATTTTCATCATTCCAGAAGTGTGTAGGCTGGCAAGGTAGGGGCTTTAAACACACCAACTCTCCACTTTCTCCCCACACTGCTTTTCCTGCAGGATATGAAAAAAAAATATTAAAGGAATGCATAGCAATTGAAATAAATACTAATAGGGTAGGTAATATTAGTGTATAGTGTGCACTTTTTGCAGAATGTATTAATTAAATTGTTTTGTTAATGCAGCCATAGTCACACACCATGCATTTGACTTGCACAGCACTCTTATACACTTCCTGTAAAGAGACTAATGTTTAACTGCCCAAATACATAATAAATGAAAATCACTGGTTAGTAGTTATATCCCAAATAAAAGCTTGCATGCATTTAATTATGCATTTTTCATTGCAGTCATATCTAAAAACAGTTTGCTAAAACTGCAGATCTCTTGTCTGCTGGCTTGGAAAGCCCTCCTCTTCTTACTATGCCCACCATGCCCACACCCACTTTATGTGGCTGTCCAATGCAGCTCAATGAAAAGTTTTTGCAAGGTAGGTGATCTGGGCAATTGCTGCCTCATGAATTCAGTGCAATTAAGTTAATCAAGCCAGCAAGTAACATGACAAGTTGTCTGCTTTAAAAGCCAGGGGGTGTAAGCTGTATAATTTATAAAAAAAGTGTCAATTTCTATTGATATCTGCACTTTTCACACATAAAGATTTTCAGCAAATTAAAGTGCTTTAGGGGTCTGGAAGGTCTCTTTAAACTTCATTTATTGCATATTCTGTTTAAGTTAGAATTTCTTATCTTCTCCTCTGTTAATAGTCTTTTAGACCATGCAGGAGCCTCCTGTATGTGATTAAAGCTCAATTTACAGAGAAGACAATAAAAACTTTTAAAGCAAGTTAACATCGAATTGAAAATGAAATAATTTTTTTATACATGCTGTGTGAGTCACAGCCAGGGCAGGTGTGGCTAGGTCTGCATGCACAGAAGCAAAAGTGATTACACTACTAAATGGCAGAGAATTAAGCAGTGAGATTGCAGAAGCATGATCTAAGCACCCAAATACTTCATTATGCTAAAGCTGTTTTGATGCCTAAAGTATCCCTTTAAGCATGCCATATTGTTCTATGTAGATACATCTTCTATAGTCTATAATTGATTACACAGGAACATTTTACGTATTCTGATGTGTTTGTATGCTATGCACATTTGTGATGAGGCTCGTAACTTCACAGTTTGCACTTTCTGAAGAAATTTGGTTGCTATGGTCCATTTAATTAAGTGTAGTCATACCATTTGTGGAAATAACACTTTGACAATGGAACACAAGGTGCTCCACCCATAGCAAGCACAACCCTTAGATTACCAGTTGTTCTGTAAGGCACTGAGACCGAATATACCATATTATGCAAAGCAAATGAACTAACAAGACGATGAAGTGTTGCTCAGAAACAGGAAGCTTTTCTTTTTTTTTTTTTATTACCTGCGTCACAGATGTAAAGTATAACAGTGTCAAATCTCACATTACGAAATAGTATAGTGATAATGGTAAACACGGGATATAACCAACTCTTAAATGAATATTTAAATAATAAATTATGCAAATCAGTGATCCTTTATAAGAAATAAAATAGAATAACTGGAATAACCAGAAGCAAGTTCACTAAGGGAGAATGTAACTTAGAATGCATAAAGCATAATATGGTATTAAGCATAGGCTAATAAACACAGTTGTAGAAAGTTTACCGTCTTCACTCCAGGCTTCTATAGCCATTGAAAGGTTCCTTGCTTGAATTTCTCCTCTGTAAACTGGAATGGATACATTTTGGCCCATGAAGCAAGATATGATGTCAGTGCCCCCTGAAACAAGAAGAAAGAAAAAAAAGATTTTCCAAATGGTTATCAGGAGATGAGAACATCAGAGTAATGAAAGAGTCATAATTTCTTAGAGAATTAAGTGAAGTTCAACAAATATAAGCTCTATTTTAGGAAAGTGTACGAAGGCTATGTGAGTTGCAGCCACAAAAGGTGTAGCTAGGGCTGTATAAAGAAAGTGATTTAACTCCTAAATGGCAGAGAACTGAGCAAGCAATGAGACTGCGGGGGCATGATCTATACACCAATACTGCTCATTAAAGCCAAGTTTGTTTGGTGCTTAGAGAGTGTCCCTTTAAGATGGAGACCTGTAATAATGTTTTCCAGCTTCCCCCTAACCCTCCAAAAGAGTCCCCATGGAATAATCCAAAGGCTAAACCATAGTTACTAGTTGTCCAAACCACATCTGGAGGTGACAGACTTAAATGGTGTCTCCAACGCATATATCCAACCCCATTATCCTCAAAATGCTAAAATTATTGTCAGGCAATCTGTGAGAAGGGAAGGTATAGGTGTAGGGCAGAAAGAGAAACGATCAACAATGAAGGAGAGAGAGTGATGTAGGGAATAGGAAAATAGACTCTGGATAGTAGGTAACATGGTCGCAAGTTGGGAAAATAGACAATTTCCAAAATGTTAACGTGTAGACTCTGTCAAGCTAACTTTGTATCAAATACTTGTTGTTAAATATCCCCACTCTAGAATTGTAATGCCCTGCAGAATACATTTTGCTCATAGTAATAACAATAAAACATACAAATACAAATTGCATTTTCATTTTCATTTTTTTTACCCCAGCAAGTAAAAGGTATGAAGTATAATTATCCTTACTAGCAGTTGGCCAGGACTCAGTAGATGCAGTTATGGATTTGACCATATTGATATAATTAGTGATGAAGCAAAGCATAATGAGTAGGAAGCTACACGGGGGTGAGCTTTGAGCAGATATTTCTGTATGTAAATATATCACCGCCTACAGTTTATATTATATTCTGCCTGTACATGTGTCAGTACCTGTCTTGGCAATTGTCTAAGTGTCTCCAGGATAAAGACAGAAATCAGGTGAAGCATTAAATTAGTTTAAACATCAATCATTGTGAATAATTCCTACTCTACTGTGGGAAGAGTAATTATGAATTTTAAGCAGGTCTCTTACTGTGTACCTTTTGTGATAAAATTACTTGTACCGGAAAGGGATGTATGAACTGGAATACTGTTGTGTTCCAGCAGAACTTTGTTTTAAAACATTATCATAAACTGACACCTGTTAGCTATTAATACAAGGGTCATTGAGCATGTCCCCAAACTCATTCTTAAAGGACCACTCTAGGCACCCAGACCACTTCAGCTTTACCTCTAGGATTAACCATTTTTTTTTATAAACATAGCAGTTTCAGAGAAACTGCTATGTTTATACTGAGGGTTAATCCAGCCTCCAGAGCCTCTAGTGGCTGTCTCACTGACAGCCGCTAGAGGCGCTTGCGTGCTTCTCACTGTGAAAATCACAGTGAGAGCACGCAAGCGTCCATAGGAAAGCATTGTAAATGCTTTCCTATGCGACCGGCTGAATGCGCGCGCGGCTCCTGCCGCGCATGCGCATTCAGCTAATGACGTCGCGAGCAAGGAGGAGAGTAGGAGTACAGCTCCCCGCCCGGCACTGGAGAAAGGTAAGTGTTTAACCCTTTCCTCTCTCCAGAGCCCGGCGGGAGGGGGTCCCTGAGGGTGGGGGCACCCTCAGGGCACTATAGTGCCAGGAAAACGAGTATGTTTTCCTGGCACTATAGTGGTCCTTTAAGTATGGGTTCTGCAGTCGAAGCCACTTGACACTGCAACTGGCTAATCAACCCTCAATTTTGAACCTATATCTGTCATAGCAAATGAGTGCATTGCTGCACAGAAATATATGAGAAGCTAAATGTATCAAGAGGTAAATCACATAACTACCAAACAAGCAAGCACAGCCAAGGTGAATAAAATTACTAGACACTAAGAAATGGCCATGAGATGGCCTGACTGCAATTATAATTAATGTTAAGGTGCCCTTACCTGAGATGGACCCCAGAAGAATATTGCTTTTTATGTGTTCATAAACATAATCATAACTTTGGGGCTTCAGTGGTGATCCTGTTGAGAGTATTGTGTGCAATGTCTGTAGACTGTTTGTTTCACCTGTCGACAAACAAACAAAGTAAATTACATTATCACATTTTTGCATTGAGCATGCACTGCACTATTAAACCCAAGTTGAAGTTGTGTCTGAGTATTTTCTGTAATAAGTTGATGCAGTTTTAAACGAAACAAAAATAACCACAAATAAATTAATTAAAAAAATATATCACTAGGTACCATTGGCTAAAAATACACATTAAAAGGAACATGCAAAGCATCATAACCCACTACAGTGCGCATGAGTAGTTATGGTGCCAGGAGTTGCCTCCACTCTAAGCAGTCAAACCATTTTAGAATGGAGTCCCTTGGGGGTTTTTGTCTGTGTTCACGATATTTGACAGAGAACCAGAAACTCTGCATAGGAACTTCCATTAGCTCTACTGAGTTAAGCCATGAGTTACACGGCTAGCTCATTGGTAAAGAGTATTAGGGGATCGTTCTCAGAAGGTGAGCTCAGCACTGCACTAGCAGGCTTAGCTCAGACAGAGTTTCTGTTTTTCTGTCAGATGTAGTGGAGGTGGGGAACGGAATAAGTAAAAATAAATAAAAATCAAACCCTTCTATAATGGTCTGATTGCTTATAATGGGAGGGCACCGTAATCATTAGAAACATAACCAATACGGCACGCTATAGCAGTTACGGTGCTTGGAGAGTTCATTTAAGGTCAAGTGGTACATGCTGAACTGGCTAGTGATGCTCTTAAGTACTGAGCCTATTGGTGAACTGAGACAAACAGTAATGTGTTTCCAGATGTGTCAATGTGATCATGTGACTTTTTAAAAAAAATGTAGTTTATTCTTTATGAAGGACAGCACAATGCACACAAACATTTTGCAAGTGTTATACCAGCATATTTTTATTCACAGTGGGGAAGCCAAATTATTGTAAGATTTACTGTTGTGAGCTTTGGAAAATAGATTGAGGGTCACATGACAAGGAAGACTTTTTACTGAATTCTGTTATTTTTTTTCTTTCCTATCTGCTGTGAGTGGGAGCAGCAAACCCAAATATATAGGCTGCCATGGACAATAACATGAAAAATATAGCAAGTATGAATACATTGTACTATTATATAATAGTTCTATTATTATTTAACTGAAAACATAAGAGTGCCCAATGTATAGACATGATTGGGAATTGCCACGATTCCAGGTTTGATAAATTCCTCACTGTATATTGGTATGCCTTTTTATTGAGCAGACACATTAGCAGTGGTTCTTCTGAACAGATTTAATGTATTAATTTATCTCTGGAAAGAATGCCTATGGATATTCCCTATTTGTTAATACTATAACCTGTAACAGACAAAATACAGAGAAACATTAGCATATCCTTACGTGGCTTGAGTTTTTTCTCTTCTAGCACTGTCAGCCATTTTGCACCTGTTCCTAAAATGGTTATTCTGGGAAAAATAAAAATAATAATAATGTGGTGATTACTGGTACATTTCAACTGCATCCTATGAAGGCTTGCTAATACAATAGTCCACTTTAAAGAAATAAATGTAAAACAATTTAAAAAAAAAAGCTTTAATCTACCTCTGCATAACTAATAACACACTTGCCTATTTTTACAATTAATCAATTACAGACAATTTCTTAATTAACCCCTCGAGTGCCAGAAGGCTGAAACACATTGCTCACCATTCTGCCACTGCCAGAGTTAAAAGCAATGGAGGAAGTGAGAACTCTGATTACTTGCTCAAAACACAGAAAATGACTGTAAACACCCATTGCTCCAGGAAAAATAGCATGAGTGATACACATCAGCATATGCTTATGACATCTTTTAATAAACAAGTGAAAATTCACCCTGTTATACACATGAGAACGATCAATGCTCGGGAGTGAGTCATAACAGAATGTATGGCTTCAATTGTTTAAGTTCCATCTGCAGTAATAAATAATAGCAGTGCCCAGATTTATCTACATTAGCGGATTCTATGGCTTGAAATCTCAGAGGCTTCATTTTCTTGCTGTCTAATAGGCATTCGGGATGAGTCTATTTATCTAGCAGACAAGCAGACGGCTTTTCTGTGACTTATGGTGATTTGCTTACAAGCTTCTGGTGAGCAGAAAAATAGTGAGAATGAAGAAATATGGTTTTGGGCTGAAAACTGAAATTTCATATAAATGAACAAAAGCACAAGGGGCAGACACAAAGGAAAACACGAACATACCTCTATGATATGAAAAGGGATAAAAACAGCATCCGTTATTGGAGGGTGTGCTTAAAGCATCGCAAAATGGGCATTCGATAACCTCCAAAAATACAGCTGCTGACAACTACACCTCCCAAACAGCCAGGGGCCAGATAACAAGCTGGGCACTTTATTACACAGTAGCTGGGGCTCTCATATCAGGCTGGAACAGTGGGGCATTTTACAGAGATGTTAACCTCTCTTTAGAACATGTTCATTTAACTGGAGAACACACTTAGAGTCTTTAAAAAGAGTTAGATGAAATGTATCTGCCACGACACACAGGGACTGTTTGGCCAGCCCTATATTCAACTTTGCCATCTTGGATAACATAAGACATATCAATTTGCCTGTTCCCTTCTATTAATTCTATAAACATGGGATAGGGAGTGAAAATGAGCTTTCTGTGAGCATTTTATTGCATGTAGTTATTTACTGTGTGAAATAAATGTTGGAATAGAATGTCAGGTAGGCTATATGATAATGAATAGTAAATAAAACTTGTAAATTATATTAAATAAAAATTAAATTAAATTATATTAAATTATGAATAACACTGGTGTCATAGTTAATGATGTGTTTAATTTTCTAATTACAAAAAAGGCCAATTTTTAAATGTTAGCAGCATCTATAATAAATATTGTTACAAATATTGTAAAGAGAGATACAGTGCTGCAGTCAAAGTTGGGCAAAACCTAAAAAAAGTATATAAATAGTTACACAATTCTTAGCACCATAAAACAACCAGGCAAATTTTTTTTTTTTTTTTTTTTTAAACACAATTAACTTGGGGTAGGTTTTTGAAAGAAAAATTGAATTTCAACCTGCTGAATTCAAAAAGCCGACATGGCAACCTATCAAAATTGGTCAAATTCAACATTCTGCCTAATCATATTCTGTTACACTGCATAAGGTGCATAATAAGGGACCAACAGAGGACCTGACAATGATTTAACAATGATTTAAAGGTAACTCCAAGCACCATGATCACTTCAGTGATTTGATGTGGTCATGGTGCCTGGAGTCTGTATTGCACCAAGCCAATGACAACAAGCACTTATCAGAGATTGATACAACAAGCTGTAGTTAAAGGAACACTACAGAACAACAGCTTATTGTATTTGCTCTGGTAAGTAGAATCATTCCCTCCAGGCTTTTTTAAATAAACACAGTTTTTTTCAGAGAAAATACAGTGTTTACATTACAGCCTAGTGATTACTCCACTGGCCACTCCTCATATGCTTCCTGTGGCAGTGCTGCACACTGTGCAGCACTGCCTTTCAGTTTCTCCACCCTCTGCATGGAGACATAGAATTTTCCTCATAGAGATGCATTGATTCAATAGGCATTGTTTTGAGACAGCATTGTCTTTATAAAGCTTGATAAAGATACTGCTCTGTTGAAATGTTCCTTAATCCTTTGCTGGTATCATGTGCACTTCATACAGGGTTGTAGCACTATCATACAACTATCAGTATATGAGATCCAGGAGTAAGGAGTGTACCCTATTATTGTATGACAAAGTGGTTCTAAGACACACAACGCATTAACATTAACTGTCTGTGTTACTTATCCTGGGGTGTCTCAGCTAAATGTTTTGACAGAGAAATAAAGGTATTTATAAATGTGCAATTGCAGGTTTGATTTGGGAATTTATATTTCACCAGCTTGTTTGTTTTTGGATAACCTATCAATTTATTACCATATTGATGTCACTTTTATTCCCCCCCATAACTTACCGAAAAGTGTGTTTACTGAAACTGCATATAATCCCTGTTTAAAAAAAAACTTCAACAAGCAACATTGCATGCTGCTTTAAGGAAAAAAAAGTTTTCTTCAATTCCATTTAATCTGAGTAAATGTTGCAAATTGCATAATGTGAAAATGGGCTATTATACAAATTTCCAACAAATGATTAGCCTGCTGCAGGAAACCACTGTCTCGGTAGGGATGTAACCTTTCCCCAAAGGAACTCTCAGTTAAATGTCAACTGGGTTCTATGACACAAGTCAGTAGAGTAAAAGCACCAATGACTCATTTATAGTAATGAAGGGCTCCCAGAGTAGAACACTCCACTCTTCTATAAATGCAGATTAATAAGCATTCACTGAAGTCTATGATTGGGAAGAAAAGCTACCACAAATGTAGTTTTCATTTTCACAGATAGTCAGTATAAATGTCATAAAAAGCTAAACAGTTTGTAAATCCTCTAGGCTCTCAGTGAATTAATGTTAAATAAGACGTCATCACTACTGGTTACAATTTGGGAATGTACAATGTGTTTCTAGACCTACTTAATATATGCAACTGGGTATGGTAAACAGCAGGAAATGTTGGTCCGTAATTAGACTTACCCCAGGCGATCTACCAGATCCCAAAGCACATTTGGGCTTGGGACAAGGGGAGACCCATCATAAAGAACCAGAGAAGCTCCAGTAGCTACTGCAGTAATCAGCCAGTTCCACATCATCCATCCAGCCTGTTGGAGATAAATGAATTAGAATTTTGGCAGACATTAGCAAAAGCTGTTTATAAAACATTATTACAGTCATAAAATGCTAAATTAACAAATGTGCCTTATTTCAATGACAGCATTGCAATGCGTCCACATTTAACCATTTAGACCTTCTGTCATGTGACTTTTAGTAACATTGTATGCTTTGTATTGACAAATAAATGTACATGATAGACACAGGGATTCTATAAACCGAATAGTGAGCTATTGAAGAGTAAAAATTGAGTTATGTCACGAGCAAAAACAACAACTAATGGATTCCCTGCAGCATCATAGAGCGTTGATTCAACGCGTTCCTACGGGGAAGGCCTAAGAGTCAGCGCATAAGTGGGCAAACTTTTTTAACCTTTTAACTGCTGCCTGGGTAGGGGGAATCAGAGGGACACTCTTTGTATTCCTAACACTATAGTGTTCCTCAACAGATCATAGAATTCAGTTGAGCAGACGTAGCTGCTGCAACATTGTAATGTGATGAAGGATAACAAGTCTATATGAGGATTAAAAATGTCACAAGGTTGATGTAAATTGAGTCAAGGTTTTTTTCCTTTATATACTTGTTAAGTTTCAGATTTTTTTTAAATATATTTTATCCCATAAAAAAATAAATATGCTTATGTATCAATGAAAAGGTCAAGAGTATGAATACACAACTAAAGCTAGCAGAGAGGAAAATAACAAGGACCATACTCCCAAGCCAGCGAATTACCGTGGTGTAGTACATAATAATATCATTGCTGGTAGTATCACCGTGCAGAATGTGTTCCTTTAAATGCTGTATCATGCTTCCCTGAAAAAAAATTGAAAGAAAAAACAAAAACCACTCATTAACTGCAAGCTGTGATTACAGTAATCATATAGTACACACATATATGTATTTACAATGCTACATCAAAGGGACATTATACCCTCCCACCTATAATTAAGGTAAACTAACATGAAATGGCAGTTCTGCATCTACAAAAAAAAAAAAAAAATGAAAGCTTCATTTAACTTGTTAAGGAACAATAAAAAGCAACTATGAGACCATAGCAATCTGATCCTACAGACATAGAAAAATCTGTGACTGGACCATGGAAATGCTGAATGTAGGTCGTGCACACTGTGCAGCACTGAGATAAACAGTTCTGTGGCTGTCTGTGTGACTGCCACTAGAGGTGATACTAGGCAGCAATGTAAACACTGCCTTATTTCTGAAACAGTAGCATTTTCATCGCTCAGCCTGCAGGGACATGCTATACACACCAGAATCACTACCTTAAACTGTAGTTGTTCTGGTGACTATAGTGTCCATTTAATATTTGCATTTAAAACTGGCTCCTAACTTTTTAGCTGACTCCTATATTCAAAGCAAGTTTGTCAAGTCTGCCTTAGTTTGTTAGGAGCCTCACCTGTCCCTTTAAACAGAGCAGATGGGTTTTTAGAAACATAAAGACACAGGTTTGCATAAAATTATTCTTCACTGCTGCTTTCTTTACAAATTAATAGTGTTCAGAATTCTAATCACTCTCAATCTGCAAATGAAAACGTATTCAAATCTAATTTTACCACTTTGCACACGGAACAATGAATATAACCGAGTTGCCGTATATAAATTAGATCATCTTCATCTTTCATGTTTATTTATAACCTCTAGGGGACATCACAAGTACCACCATTCCTTGCATCTATGCATATTTCTTGTATTTTGGTTTTTAAACAGCTAGTTAGTGGCAAAGCATTGCTTAGCTTATTTTTTGTTGTTTTATGAGAGTTGTAGTTTTAACTCTTTGCTGAAAGGACACAAATGGCAGTTGTGTGAAGAGTAACCAGATATGTATTTGGGGAAGATGGAAGCATTAGGTTGTCCTTCAATACCACAGGAAAGATTAACATTAATTTTCAAAACAGGAACAGGGAGTATTTTTTTTTTAATCTTATTTAAGTCTGGCATTGAAATTTGCTCATGCACCTTAGCAATGAGAGGGTTAAGCTGACACCTCTGTGGTGTCTCACACATACTGCGTTTGTCTCTGACAAATGCTGAGGCTACAGCAGCTTAGTAAGTGAGACTTCACAATGCAGTCAGCAGACAAACTTGTGTTCCATTCGCACCTCGACTGCTCTGCTGACGTCTCACTGGAGGAGTAAGGGCCCTAAGCTAACCGTGTGTAGCTTAATTATAATATCTGTAGAGTAAAGACAAATGAACTCCAGGAGAGTTTATTGTGTACAACAGCAAAATAAAATAAATAAATAATTTAAACATCAATGTATTTGGAGAGCTGTAAAAGCAAAAAAAAATCCATTAACCCACTCACCAGAGACAAGCACACAAACTGAAGTTCAAGACAAGTGAGACAGGAAACCCTCCGAGCTGTGAGGGGACTTCTAAAAGTGCTGGTTTCTCTTAAAATCGTCACTTTTATAAAAACAAGCCAGAGGGGAAATGCAGTTAACTCCTGAGGCATTCTTTAAGAGATTGGAGTGTCCCTTTAAGTGGTAACGGTGCCCCCACTGCATTGTTCGGAGTCAAGCCATTTTTGAATGGTTTGACTTCTTGCTTGGGGTTTGCTGGATGCCAAACCCTGCCTCCACTAACAATTCTGGGTGTTTATGATCTTCCATTAGCTCTCCCGCAGGGCTAAGCTTATTGGCTAAGTGCATCAGCTGATATGCTGTAGTGGTTATGGTGCTCTGAGTGTTCCTTTAAGGTAAGAGGTAAAACAGGGAACATAGTTTGGTCAGTGTGCCAGGATTCTTTTCCTCTCCACCTCATATGGGTCAAGAAGTAGCAATGCTAGTCTAGTAAATCTGGCTGAAGATGGAGTGACTGCTACTTCATGTTCTAGATCAGTTTACCGCCATATTCGAAGCCACAAGTAATTGAATTGTAAATCTAGCTCATTTAAATTATCCTCATCTCTTCCCAGAAAGATCCAGCTTGGCCGATGATTTGAAGAACACACAGTAAAGACATTGTCCATTTTCTCCTTTCTCCACAAATACAAAAATGCAACTACCATGTTGTGAAAAAAAATAAATTCAAATAAATGGATGCTTCAGAGGCAAATATTCACTTATAAAACACAAGTTGTTTCTTCCCCAATGCAATCCTATTTTCAAACTGAAGTCTATCTTGAACTGTGTTTTTAGTCAACATATCCCAACAGAAAGAAGAAGTAACTATAATCTGCGGTGTGAAAATAAACATGAAAAAAAAGGTACTCCTGTATAATACTCACCCCTGCAGAATGCACCATGCATTTTGGTGCTCCAGTTGTGCCTGAAGAATACATAATGAACAGGGGATGATTGAAAGGTAACTGCTCAAATTCAAGTTGTGGGGCCTGATCCCCAACTTTTCCAGTTGCCAGGAAATCATCAAGGAATACACTAAACATAAAAAAGACACAAAATAATTAAATGCCAAGTAACCCGCCAACTCCCACTTTATCAACTGCAATGGCTTGGCTTACATTGCCACAAACTTACCATTTTGGTGGTGAATTTTAACATTGTGAATACATATAATTTATTAGGAATATCTGTAGCTTTTACAACTAGCTGTACTTTCATTTACACAGTAAAATTTGTATAAGCAATGGAGTGAACTAAATCTATAACCCTTTTCTGGAGTCTTTTCAAACTTCAGCATCAAAGGATCTATTCCTGGAAGGGTCAACTCGGTCTACCAATCAGCAAGGATTAATGAACTGAGTTTAATTTTAACAAAGGTGAAAAAAGTTACAAACATTATATGCAAATGAAACTTGCCTTATGTTAGCTATTGCTGATGTGCTGAATTTATAGCAAAAGTAAAACTATTTTTAATGCTCGCGTTAGCTCTGCAATTGATACAAGATAGTTAGGTTATGTGATTCAGGTCACCAATAATCTTCTTTAAATCCCAAATCCCTAATTTACTATCCAAAGAACTTTTGGATTTGCAGTTGCTAAAGAATCATTATATTCTTAGCAGATAGTTATCTACTAGAGAGAAGAAAAAAAAAAGTGATACGTGTTGAAAAGTTCACATTAAAATCTGTATATGTCTATTACATTACACTGCGGAATAGGGAATTAATTTCAATACTGTGAGGTCGCGTAAATGGGTAACTGCCACCTTACGCTATGAGAAATTGTATTAAAGGAAAAATAATTAAACAAAAAAAAAAAGAGAGACACTAAGGGGATCTGCAGACCAGAATATAAATTTCAATTTTCACTCATTATGAGAAGACAAATCTCCACTTCAAGACGTTCAAGTGAATGCATGTCGTAGAAATTTACATGAAAAATGTCACTGCATTAGCATAACAGCTGCTGAAAAGCTGTTAACTACATAGTGACCGAGGACAGTGCAGGAGAAGATCTACATTACAGGCCACCCATTGCCAATAAGGGGACAAAAAGGGCAGGTTAACAGCATACTCCATCCATTTGCTAGGGATGCTAGGAGTTGTAAGTCACACACTAGCCTTATGTATACACGAAAGAATACCAGGCAAGTATTAAATAAATGTGTGTATTTTTTGGAATTACCCAATGCAGACAGATTGATAAATATAGAAAGCATTCAGATAAGCAAAAACAAAACAAAATACAAACATTATTCAACATAAAAGCCAATTATTACTATAAGGAAATGGGTTTGGCTAGCTGTAATAGGGCTCTGTCACTTCACTGGTTTTGGTTTTAAGATAATCCTTTTTTATTCCTTTATTTTTCTCTCTCTTTATTTTTTTAACTTCACCTTTGTTTTTAGCTATAAACAAAGAGATTACTTTTTCTTCTGTGGAGCATGATATTTGCCAATATTTGGCAATGAGGGAAGCTTAAGCAAAGTTCCATTTAATTAGTTAATGTTGATTTACCCACAATCCATCAGTTAAAAAATCCCACAGAAGACAAACTGCAGATATCATGGACAGGCGACAACAAAATGGAGGCCCAGATTTTGAGATCCGACAAGAAAGAGACAAGACAATAAATATAAATATAGACAAATGGTAATGGGGGAGTATAATCATTATGATACAGTGGGTATAAGCAACAGAAAACTGAAAGAAAAACAAACAAAAAAGAAGAAGAATAGAAAAAACACACAGTGCCGCTTTAAGCCTGTGGTCCAGTGATTACTGTAAATCCATCCAAGTAATTTGAGAGTTTAGAAGGACTGTGAGTGTCAGACACGGCAGAAAAGTATCACAAGCCATTGCCCTTTTCGCAATGAATGGGTTACTAAAAGTCACACCGGGCAAAATATTATTTTCCAAATCTAGCACAAGATAGTGTGTTGGGAGCAGATGCCTTAATGAAGAGAGCACAGGTTGTAATGGAGTATGCTGTCTCGGCTATACAATTAGTATGGAATGATAATGTCACAATGCTTAAATGCTACTTTGTTTCCTCAAACCAAGTGAGACAAATGCATGCTCTTCGCTAATCTTTTCCGTTCCCTTTTCCCAGGAGATCAATCAGGGAATGTGTTCCTTGCACGTACTGATAATTATTGGAAAAAAGGTAACATACGAGAGACACCGAAAAATACTTGAGAGGAATATAAAGCTGTCCTGATAAGGAAGCTGAATTAAATGGATTGGCTGTCAAATTTCATCTGACCTTTAAAACTGAAAACACATTTCTTTAAGAGGTTAGAAAAAACATTATCCCTTGTATTGGGCATTGATGCACTACTATTTTGTACAGAAACCAGCAGTTCTCCACATGGGACACAGGTATTTTTGGTTTCTTCAATAATGCTGGTGCCTGAACCTTTTACCTCTCGTACCTTGGGGTCTGATAGGTGCAAGAATATAAAACTCTATGCTCAACTGTTAGATAATGTGTATCCCTCATTCTACCATATAAACACAGGAAGCAAGTGATGTTTCAGGCTTAGTCATGCTTACATTTCCAAGCACTGTGTATGTTTACAGTAGCTTAGCATTGTATTAAAGTTTAATGTATTCCTAAAAGTTTGATGTGAACCAGGGCTCTTCCCAACCTTCTTGATTCGCATTTTCATGCTCAGGTTTCACTGCAAGATACTTTTTTTACTGCTCCGGTATGCCTTGATATGGGAGGTCCAGCCATTTCAGAGCGGTAAAAACGAATCTTGCAAGTGACTCTGGCGAATTACAAAGTCGAAACTAAGCATCCGCACGGTGACATGGAATGTCACATACTGAAGACAGCAAAGTGTTTAAGCTGCAGAGCTTGGTTCTGAGGAATGTTAAGTGGGTTTAAAACCAAAAAGGTCCCACCAACGGATTTTGTAAGCCCTTCTAATTCATTTTTATAGTGTATGAAATAAAAAGGGTTTTATGCTATTTTTGTATTCTGTAATTCCATATGGCATGTTAATATTTTGGAGCCTCTGAGGAGTACTAACCATAAATGAACGAACAAACAAGATAAGCCAGAAATGTTTATATCCTGTTCTGTAAAATCAACTTTAAATCACCCACAGGAGGCTCCTGCAGGCTCTAGAAGTCTATTCACATTGTCATATATTTTTGTACAGAATTTTCTATTTTCATTAGGTCAAAAAAATATCAAACATGCACACAAGTGTAGCAACAAGGCGCAAACAGACATCAGTCACTAATTGTGAAGTACTTCCAGTGAAATCTAATTGTCAGGTAAACAGAAGAACTTTGAATTATTGCATTAAACCATCAATATCAGAAACCTTGTGCTAAGTTTCAAGGAAATAATCAACTAGACATTTTTCAAAAATAATATGGAGAGGGGGAAATATTGCCAGTTTTGACTAAATTTGGACAGTGTTGCTAATTTTCACCATATCTGGACAGTGTTGACACTAAAATGTTAAAAATATATTTTAAGGCATACCGATCCCTTAAACACAGAATACCTATATTCTCTACAATAAATGATCACTGACTTACAAGCTACTAACAAATTAAATCTTCAGATTGTTCAAGATTGCTATATTCCACTATATCATACTAACATCCTAATGTCCTGCTGTGAACACATATTGCACTTATCTCTAGAAGTCAGCTTGTGCATAAGAAAAAATCCCACTTATTAAAAGGTGTAAGTGCAGGATTCCCCTGCAATGCCATGAACACCTTAAAGGATACCATTGTATTTAAAATAATGTGTAAAGAAAACCAATCACTGTTTTACAGAATGTCCAAGTTCTACAGCCAGAATCATATTGGTATGGCAAAAGGCTAGGCTTATAAAACTCGTACCTATTTGGGATCTTGGAAATATCGATTTTTTCTTTTGGGTGAACATAAGGAATCACAACTACCTTTCTCAAGTCGGGCAATCCTGCAGAAAAAAGGAGATGTGGTATTGAATAGTCAGTTTAGTTGTCCTAAAAGAAATACACATACAGAATAGTAATATGCAGCAGAATTCTATCTATTCAGAAATCAGAGATAAAAAAATCATAATTTCAGCATATTAAAGAATGTCTCTAAAGTTATTTACACAAATAAATCGATGTATTTTGCCATCAACAGTGTTTCCCTTGATGCATATTGATGGTGTATTTGCAGATCCCTATAGCTGCAATCCTCCAACTGAATTCACATTTCCAATAACTATGTTCAGCGGAGAAGTGACAAGCCACTCAGTATCCACTTCTACCACAGCGTGAATGACTGGAGTAGTACTAATTCCCTGAACAACTTTGTTGCTGATGAGAATGAACGTTCAAGTGTATTGTACAGTAAACAGCAAATAAATAAAAAAATGCTTGTGGACTAGTGTGTGAATGGTGCAATAAAAAAACATTACATTATATCTAGCCAAGTAAGTACATTTAAAAGGACACTCAAGGCATCTTATAGGTTTGGTGCAATGTGCATGTTAGGTTACAGCTAGTTTTGTTGGATATTATTTTTAAATTTCCTTTAGTTTTTCTTTTATTGGGTCATCCTTTAACTTATCCTTTCAGCCCATCCCTACCAACCTGCAGGGTATCCCTTTTTTATTACTCTTTAATTAGGTAAAGGCAATAGTGCACCACAGTATTAAGAGGTGACGTGTTAGAATAAACATAATTGAGGGCATTATACTCCAGAGCCTGTTGATTTACAATATACATGGAGGGTAAATCTTCTTCTAGGATTAATAGGAACCAAAAAAAGTAAATCCCAATACTATAAGATAAAAAGATAAAAATAAAAATAGAAGAGTGCCAAGGGTCAGGGGATTGGAGCCACTTGAATCTAAGCAGCCAACTCTGCTGACCTTATTAATACTCAAATGGTGACCAAATCTTATTAAATATAAATCAAGTGTTTCTGACCTACGCTGTCAATTTGTCCATCTGGTATGTGTCTTTAATCTTCAAAATGACTTGTGCTATAAAAAGGGACCCCAACCTGCAACCATGACTGAGCCACAGCATGACATGCAGCCAAATTGAGTATATTAAAGAGCCTCTGCTCCCTAGTGATTATACCCTTTATAGGCTGAGAAAACAGAAAAGACAAGGGGTTAAGGGCAAAGTGCCTATAGAAAATTGTGGATACCAGTGAGCATTCCTCTGTCCAGAAATCTATTGCATGTGAGTAAGTCCACTACATGTGTATGTATGTACCCCTCTCCCCTCAATGACGCCAGCAGGTATCTGTGACAGACCTACCCATGCGGCACAGCTTAAAAGGAGTATTATACCAGTGGAATAATGGTTTACGGGATTGTTACTGGAGAGTCACATGCAAGATTTGGGACGGGCCTCCCAGATATCCTCCCAATCTCCTCCATCCAGCACCTCACCCAGGTTGACCTCCGACTGGTCCACATATCTAAGTTTCTCTTATTCATTAGATGAGGAGCATATATGTTGGTTTACGTGATTAATTCTAGTGTATCCCTTTTTAGTCCAGCTGTTACATTTCTACAGTAGACAAGGGAACTACAATAAATCCTTACTATAAGCAAATCAAAAGTTAACAGGTGGCTTTATATATTCTGAACAGCCATTAGTACTACAATGTTAACAATGTGAATGCCTTTAGATTAATGGCACTACATCCATTCTGTAAAACTTTCATTAAAGGGACACTATAGTCACCAGAACAACTACAGCTTAATGTAGTTGTTCTGGTGAGTATAATGGCTCCCTTCAGGCATTTTCATGTAAACACTGCCTTTTCACAGAAAAGGCAGTGTTTACAATGGTGTTTACATTGCCCCTAGGGACACCTCCAAGCAGATGGCCACTGGAGGGGCTTCCTGGCTCAGGGCTGCACACTAGGCAGCCCTGCCATTCAGCGTCCCCACTCTGTGCATAGGGACGCAGAATTGTCCTCATAGAGATGCACTGAGTCAATGCATCTCTATGAGGAGGTGCTGGTTGACCAAAATTGCCCTGTGGGAAAGCATTGGATTGGCTAAACATCGGCAATTTTGATGATGTCCCCAAGGGCGGGGCCAGCGGACCTGTGGAGAGCTGAAAGTACGGTGAGTTTTAACCCATTCTGAGTGGGTTAAAGGACCACTATAGTGTCAGGAAAACATACCCGGGCTCTAGGGGGAGGAAAGGGGTTAAAACGTACCTTTTTCCAGCGCTGGGCAGGGAGCTCTCCGCCCCCATTCCTCCCATTCGGCTGAATGCGCACGCGCGGCAAGAGCTGCGCGCGCATTCAGCCGGTCTCATAGGAAAGCATTTACAATGCTTTCCTATGGACGCTTGCATGCTCTCACTGTGATTTTAACAGTGAGAATCACGCAAGCGCCTCTAGCGGCTGTCAATGAGACAGCCACAAGAGGAATTAGAGGAAGGATTAACCCATTTACAAACATAGCAGTTTCTCTGAAACTGCTATGTTTATAAAAAAATGGGTTAACCCTAGCTGGACCTGGCACCCAGACCACTTCATTAAGCTGAAGTAGTCTGGGTGCCTAGATGGGTCCTTTAAGGGGGTAGGGGGGGCAAGCCACCTTACTGGTGGGTTGTCACTATAGGGTCAGGAATATATGTGTGTGTTCCTGACCCTACAGTGAAACTTTAACCAAACTGTACACTTGCAATGAGGAATAAAATAAATAAAAATCACACGGTGTACCTTTAACTACACTCTGTAGCTTATCCAGGTGTGCATGTTCCTTTCCATTGTAAACTACAGCTTCAACTGAGAAGATTAACTTTGGTTGAATTTGGGAAAACCTGTCCAGAACACCCTGCAGAGAGAACAAAGGCATTTTAATCAATTGGGAAGACAAACATAGAGGAGTTTGATAATTACATCACTTCACGATCACTGCCACAATGTAATCCTCTGGCATTAAAAAATAAATTTAAAAAATGAAATTATTTTTTTTAAAAGAGCTGGGTTGACCGTTAACGAGAAACTGTCACTTAAATTAAACCTGCCATGACAAGATTCATTTTAATATACAACATGTCCTGATAAAGCAAATATAGAATTTATCATGATAAACTTTATATTTCCACAGTTTGGGGTCTGTTCCAGATATCCTCAGCTGATGCCTTTAATTCCAGGACCACCATTCCTAGACTGCCTGTGGGGATAACACTGTTATAATACCCATAATGCACTGCTAGCCCCCTGTCCCTCTCTGTCTGATTAATAACCAGAGGGATGTAAGAAGTTTCATTTTAAACAGTGGCAATTTCTATTAAAATATGCACAATAGGAAAAAAAATATAAAGTGTTTTAGATGTTTAGAGTTTTCCTTTAAATATTTAGGGCAAATTTAAACATTTATCCGAAAGTTATCTATTAGTTGTGTAAATGTTTTGTTGTTTTTATGTTACACTTTTTAATTTGATTAATAAAGTTTGCCACTAAACTGAGATATGTCAAGGATTGACTCGGAAATTGTAAATATTAGGACAAATGACAATTTTTTTTTAAAAAGGAGGTCTTTCGACATTACCGTCTGGACATTATTCATTAATTCCCCTTTAATAAATAAACCTACAGATATTTTTTTAGTAATCCTCGCAAGATTTCAATGAAGTACAGACAGGCATCTGGCACACAACCAGGTCTACCCCATGATGTGGCTGTGAGCATTATTTTTGGCAACTACAGCAAGTTGCTCAAGCAACATGGGTCCCATCAATTTCAAAGAGAATCCAGCTTAAAAGTTCATCTCTCTTATTTGCCACCATGTGGAAAAATAACTAGCAGATGCTCTAGCACGATGTATTCTGTCAATTCTGCAGCACATTTCACCCAAATAAAACTTCATTATTTATCAAGGTTGGTGATAAAAAGATAGTAACACTCCCTTTAACACTCCTGTTAGCTTACTTTATAGAGTCTGTAATTGCATCCGCAGTCAGCAGTAACAGAGTAACACTGCACTCCTTCAGATTCTGCTTCAAAATCAAACCACAAAGAACAACTGTTTTCCGAAGTCAGCTTAAGTTTTCTTCAATCTCAAAATTTGGCATGGACATCTATCAGTGTTCATTATACAAATGGGCTGCTTATAACTGTGGCTAAGCAAATAATTTCACCTTGTAAACATTACTGCTCCTGTCAGCAACTGTATGGCTTAATCATGAAAACATAGGGTAAGTGAGTCCACTACAGAATGGATCTGAGGTTATACACAAAACCCAGCAACAAAGACCAAATTTCTTCAGTCGTGTGCCAAAGTCAGAGGTAATCATTTTCATTAAGATTTGCTCAATACAGATTCCAATGTATATCTGTAGATGTAACGTTCCAGGTCTTACTTTGAGAATCAAACTATCTGCATGTCTACTCTTTATCTAGGAAATGTCATGGAGCTCTATCTAGCATTCCATGAAGTTAAAGAGGTTACACAGAGATTACCCCTTCTTTTCCTCTGACTAATAAATTATATATTTTTAGTGTGTCATTTTAATTATGTACACCGCCCAATCCACATTATAACCAATATTGTGATATTTATATTTTCTCATCAGATAAAACTTATACATCTTACAGTACAGTAAATGGCCAAAATACAGGGAGTAATACTGTATTTATTGCAGCATTATTCCCTGTATTTAAATAAATGTGGAAGGATCTGGCAGGAGTGGAGCAAACAGCACAGGTGTCTCTGAATGTAGCGTGGCCGAGCCATGGCCCGTGGTAGAGGAGCTACTGAATCCTCTACCCAGTCTGACAGGAAGTACTCACTGAGTGTGCCAAATTGCTTCCTGCCAGACTTGAAAGAGGTTACAAGAGATCCTCTACCACGGTCTGCAGCTCAGTCACGCTACATAGGGGAGGTGATCTGGCACAGGGGGGAGAGTATGAGACACATGGAGGGGTGAGGGGGTAATGAGACACATGGAGGGACGGAGGGGTGTGAGGGTAATGAGACACATGAAGGGGCTGGGGGGAATTAGAGACATCTAGGAGCTGGGGTGGGGGAATGAGACACATAGAGGGCCTGGGGGAAATGAGAGACATGGAGGGTTTGGGGAGGGGGGGGAATGAGAGACATGGAGGAGAAGCTGGGGGAATTAGACATCTAGGAGATGGGGGTGAGAATGAGACACATGGAGAGCCTGGGGAAAATGAGAGACATGGAGGGGGGGGTGGAATTAGAGACATGTAGGAGCTGGGGATGAGACACATGGAGGGCGGGGGAATAACACGCATGGAGGGTCTGGGGGGGAATGAGACACATGGAGGGGCTGGGAAAGGAGCAAAAGAGACAGACAGGCCTGGGGAATGGCAGAAGTGACAGACATGGGCTGGAAAAAGAAAGAGACATGATGCTGGGGTGAAGAGAAACACAGAGGGAGAGGCAGGGGAAAAAGAGACACACACATGGGGCTGGGTGAGAAAGAGACATACAGAGAGGCTGCAGGGGAGGGAGAGAGAAACAAAGAGGGACAGGGAGGAGGAAAAAAAAGACACTTAAGGGGCTGGAGGAGAAAGAGACATGCAGAGGGGCTGGTGGGAGAAATAGATACCCAAAGGGTGCTGGGGAAGGAGAGAAAGACACAGAAAGAGGCAGGGAGAGGGGAGAAAGATGCACACAAACAAGCTTTGGAAGAAAAGCACACACACACACACAGGTGAAATAAGAGACACACAAATAAGTAAGAGACACGCAAAAGAGTTGGGGTAAAAAGAGACACACAAAAGCACTGAGGCGAGTAAGAGACAGGCGGAGGAAAAAAGTGGAGGATAAAATAAACTAAAGGAGGTAAGACATTCAAAAGAGGAGATAAGAAATTCAAGAGTAAGATTAATGGACACACACGTGAAGATGCATTTTTCTGAGGAGAAATGAGGGGGCCTGCGCTGCATGTATCAGTTAAATTTGAAGTGTAGTGCACATAATCCCTCCTCTACCTTGTGCATGAAGTCATATGCAAGGGTCAGAAGGAAGACAGAAGCGCAACAAGATTAACCCAGTATTAACATGCATTACACAGCTAAAAGGTGATATTTTCTCTCAGTGAAAAATGAGTGCGGCCCGTGCTCACAAAATTAATGATGAAGTGGCCCACTGCAGAAAAAACTTGGACACTGCTGTAATATATGACTCTATAGGCTAATACAATATGTTATCTAACATGCTCTCTATCTTGCAGAGAGTACTAGAGAGTTTATTTGTTAAACGTTTAACTGTGAAGAATTATGCAAAGAGGATTATTCAGTAAACAGTAAACTGAATCAGCTACTTTGACCTAAAAACTTAAATTTGGTTCTAGGTTCACAACAATTTACCAAGAAACTGCAAATGTTTACCCATATCTTAATTGCAAAATCAGCTTTTTATTCCAGCTAGGCCATTTTGACCTAAAAGTTGTAGTTCCCTTGTCTATTCCTTATCGATAATACATTTTGGAGACTTGGATTGTAGAGTGGGTAATACACCTCAATGAGAAGTCTGTGACTGGACAGTCACAGAAAGTCTCTACTAGGGAATAAGAGGAAGGCTTACAGTGGTTGCAGCTATTGCAACCAAGATTTCAAATAGCTCCAAGGAAAATATGCCAAATAATTTACATGAATATTTTTATTTGGAGATTCATCTACTAAATTGATGAGGAAGGGTTTGTTTTTTTTATAATTTTTTTTAATAAAGTGTTCCTTGACTGATTTACTTCCATTTAGCTTGCAAGGACAAGATCCATAATGTGAATTTAAAGTAAATTTCAAAACTAAGGTCAGAGTAGCTTGGCTATTTTGAATTAAATTTAAAATTAAATTCTCATTTTAGTGAATAACTGTCAGGATTATAGTTGATCCAGCACGCAGAATAGTATCACACCTAGGACTAAGGATAACGTCTAACCGGACCTTAGAATGGCCGGTCTTAAAGGACCACTATAGTGCCAGGAAAACAAACTATTTTCCTGGCACTATAGTGTTAATAGGTCCCCCCACCCGCCGGGCTCTAAATGCTTTCCTATGGACGCAGGCGTCTTCTCACTGTGAAAATCAGAAGCGCCTCTAGCGGCTGTCAATGAGACAGCCACTAGAGGCTGGATTAACCCTAATGTAAACATAGCAGTTTCTGTGAAAGTGCTATGTTTACAGCAGGCAGGGTTAACCCTAGAGGGACCTGGCACCCAGACCACTTCATTGAGCTGAAGTGGTCTGGGTGCCTATAGTCGTCCTTTAACATACCAAACCAGAGAATAGTCAAAATACTTGCCAGGTCAGGGACACAGAATGAGACGCAACGATGAGGAAGGCCAGAAGTCAAAGGATACCAGAAATCAGGGAAGTCGAAACAAAGCCAAATCAGATACCAGAAGAAACACGATCAGGAACAAACTCTCAGATAAACAGCTAGTGGAAACCATGACAGGGCACTGACAAAAAGGTAATATGGGTTTAAATAACCCTCTTTAGGCTGTAATTGGCTGTCCCTGACCTCTGACCCTAAAACGTGCATGTGCGTCTATGACGTGACGTCGCACGCACGTTGGCGCCATCTTTGATGTGGGCAAAGGTAAGTTTATTATGAAAATCTGAACCGCAGCGGCCAACGTTACTAAGAATGTCGCACCCGCTGGGGAGCGGAACGGAGGGAGACCAGGCAGCTGCCCGCCACAACCAAGGTAAGTCTGATACATCTGTCGGCATGGCTACCTAGTTTATGTGCAGCCACGCCGGCAGAAGAGCCGGGAGCAGTGACAATAACCCTGTAAGAATTTTATTCTGAAAAATCCTATCATTGGACCATCTCATTATGACAGCATGCTCATTGTACCCAATTAATGGGACACTCTAGACACCAGAACCACCAAACACTGCGATACTGGTGCACACAGTGAAGTAAGGCAAGTAAAACATTTTAGATCATTATTATTATTAGTAGTAGTAGTAGTAGTAGTAGTAGTACTGGCATTTATAAAGCGCCAACAAACTCCACAGCGCTGTACAACTGGGAAAAAGACAAACACAATAAGAACAGATCGATACAACAGGTAGATGGCCCTGGCCGTGAGCTTACAATCTAAAGGTTGAAATGGGGGTATGAGACAAGAGGTAGCAGAGGAATTTGTATGTGATGGCAGAGAGAGCTAAAGGTATATAATTATTTGTGCCACTGTTAAATAACCAAATTAAATAGTCATAATTAAACTCTAGTGTTCAAAATCACTTTTGGGTGGCTATCCTAAATAATGCATCGCAGTTTCAGGAAGGAATCAGAACATATTCTATGGACTTCTTACACTCTATGAAAAAACAAATGTAGGCAAAATAGGTGAACAAACCAATATTCTCATTTTAATATGTGAATTTTTTTTATTAGATAGTAGCCAAGAACAAGGACATAAGCAGAAGATGGACTTTGCAATAAAAACTTACTAAAGAAATGTATTAAAGAATAATAATTAAAAAACAATTTAAATAGGAAGAAGACCTTCCAAGTGATACATAAGTCAATGTACCATGGAATTGTATTGCTCTCCGGTGGTAACTTGGGAGAACTGCAGATTTAAATGTAAATGTATAAATCTTAAGAAATTTCCAGAGATATGTCCAGATCCTACAAGGAACACTGATGGATCATATGATTAGTAAGTTTCCACCAAATGATATGTTCAGCAAAAGGATTATTCATATTTACAACTGTGTTAAACAAGTATGGTATACATTTAGCAGAACTGTCTACTTTCATTGAAATCAAGTAGACAAATGTTGGAACCAACATTTTTTTTATTTACAATTTTAGAAACATAAACTACTTTATCCTATATTCCTCAGTAGGAGACCAGAGCCTTTTCTTTATTTAAATGGGTACTACAGGCACCAAAACAGCTTTTGCTTAATTAAGTGGTTTTGGTGTATAGATCATGTCTGCTACAGAATTTGCTGGAGCTATATAAATAATAAAATAATAATAATAATAATAATGTAGTCTCACAGCTCAATTCTAGGAGTTAAATCACTGTTTATGCGTCCTGGTCACACACCCCTGCTTGTGACTTCCTGTAAAGAGAGATCAAATGTTTAACTTAATTAATTCTAAATTAAACAGACTGTGCAATAAATTATCTCATGCTTTGTTAGTAACTTGCTACAGCCTGCAGGAGCCTCATTTGTGTGATTAAAGTTTGATTTGCAGAGCAGGAGATAAAAACTACTAAAGTATGTTTAGGATTGGATTGAAAATTAAACCATTTTTTTTCACGTGTGAGTCCCAGCCAGGGGAGGTGTGGCTAGGGCTACATAAATAGAAACAACAGTGATTTAACTCCTAAATTGCAGTGAATTGAGCAGGTATACTACAGAAGCATGATCTACCAAAAACTGCTTAATTAAGCTAAAGTGGATTTGCAGACTATAGTATTCTTTTAACATTATCCTTAAAGACCAAATACCAATTCCTCAGATTGGAAATATGCTTGTGATATGTCCATCATGTCCCAAAGCTGTATTACCTAAGGTTATTCCAACCGCTACCTAAATGCTGTCAAAAGCTGTGTACACAGCCCATAATAAACCAGTTTGAGATTTACACATTATAAATACATGTTTTATTATTGAGAGGACATTCCAATATAAAGGCTTGATAGTACTGAAGAAATATAAAAAAAAAACCTCTAAAGTTACAAATGACTTGATCAAGGTTGGAATTTCTAAGGAAAGCCGTACAAAAGTAAGCTCTCTGAGCTTACATTTATTCATAGGCTTTAACTGGGAACTAAATAAAAAAATAGACAAAAATATAAATACAGTAACTTTTACATAGCTAAAGACGTGCAAAAACGAAAAATGTGTTTAATATATTTTTTTATGCTGTATAAATATCTGAAGTCCATTATACAAGCATTCCTTTAAAAAAAAAAAATCTCTGCTCTGACATAAACCTGGCTCTAATTCTCTACGCCTTCTTATAGTATCATGAAGCTATGTCTGTTTAACTCGTTCCCCATCCATCCACAATATAAAGTGATCATTTTGCATTTCACCACAATAATCTCTGTTCCCAATAGACTGATTACCCATTTTTTAAACTTGAAACACTGTTAAGATACAAGTTATTTTACATTCAGAGCTCTCTCACGGCTTAAAAGGCTCATGGAGTATGCTGGTAACATTACCACTTCTCAGCCAGGAGGTGGCAGTCTATCTCTGAAATCACAATGAGAATATTTATTTATTTGTAAACAGGAGAGGGTATGTCGCTATCTACTCCTAGGCCCCCTCTACCAAGTTTGCCGGTTACCACCAAAGGGCTTCTTCTACAGAATGTAGCAAACAGGAAGACATTGCCATATGCTTCATACCAAGATAAAAAGGTATCAAATAATAAGATACAAATTTATCCAAACTAAGGCCTCAATTTAATATTTTTTGGATAAACTTTTAAAATGATTTAATATTATTAAAATATGTTTAAACATGATTTTTTTGTAACTTTATTTAAAAAGGTTATCCAAAAGTGCAATCATTTTAACCAACATTTGCATCAATAAAGGAAAGTTTATAGAATTATCTCTTTAAAATACACTTAGAATATCTCTATATATGGCACATGTATTGACTTTGGCTTCCTTCCCGTATTCTGATTGCACACCTCTAACCTCTATTTACATAGTAAATATAAACCCGATATATGGATGTGGAAACAATTAAACAGGATTCATAGCTTCATGGCGCATAGGTTAAGTAAGAAAAAAAATAAAAGCCCGTAAAAGAATATCCAATGTATCTTAAATAAAAAAGATTTACAATTTTCTTTCAGGAACGGTTTGGTGCACACTACACAGGGTTATGAATGATAGAGAAAGCTATACATATTTTGGTTATTTCCTCCCACCTCCCTCCATTGAAGTAATATGTTTTTTTGTTTGTTTTTTAAACTCCCTCTCTCCTCATCCCTCTATATCAAGATTCTTGGTTACGCCCAAACCATTGTTGGTATGGAAGGTCATGGGACTTACCTGTGCCTACGCAGGTACCAGTTCATAACATGTGTGACTGCACTCACTGTTGTGGCCATTATAATTAAGTTGCATGCACAGTACTCCTTTATGCAAACCTCAGGATTCTACTCTGATCTAAACCTGGTTCATACCTTCCATTCCTTCCCTCCTGTATCATTTCAACCAGTACTATATTCCATCCTCCTCCTTGTTGTTTCTCTCTTCCTACTATCCATCTTTTGCCTTTGGATACTTGAGATTTCATTTTCATATATGGTCTGGCATATGGACCTTGTATATTGACCTATATCCATAACATCTGCAAGACCTAGCATGTGACATCCATTTACGACCAACCACTGAAAATAAATCCTTGAGTTAATGCAGTTTATTTCAGCCCTTACACATCCAATTTCATCATGTGAAGAAGAAATGATGACACTTACGTTGACTCCAAAGTCAGGAGATGTAGCACTCCAGATTGCTCCAATACTAGCTGCAGCCAGCATTGCTTCAACGGTCTCAATGCTATTTGGAAGATAACCTAAAAACCAAAACAGCCCATTTAGAATAGTTACTAAAAAAAACTGTAGCCAAAGTAATTTGGCACCACCGAAAACTACATGCTAGAAAAATGAGAACAATATGCGTACAAATCTTTACACACTGCATAAATGGTAATGATTTGTATAACCTACCAGAAATTTCAGGAGACTTAAAATTCATCACCATAAATGCATGTAAAAGGCATTCTGTTCTTTATTTACACTTTATATTCTACAGTATGGCAAATCAGGACCTGTGTGATGGCAGGGATAATGATAAATACAGCTTGCTGGCTTCAAAATTTAGCTTAACTTGTTGAACCAAACAAATGCATATTTGTTAAGTATAAATAGAAGCAAAGTAAATATGATATTCAAATTTCTTAGAAGTGATGGTTCACATGAAACGATATACCGGATTTACTCGAATGTAATGCGCCATCGAATTGAATGCGCACCTCAATTTTTTAAACCTGGAAGCTGGAGAATGTTTTTTCTGGTGAATGTAATGCGCATTTATACTAGTATACAGCACTGTGCTAAAATGAAAATGTTTATTGCCATATACCATTGTAACATTGATGGTATTTCAATGTTAAGTTTATTCTTTCTTTTTCATTTTATTTTTTTATTGTTGCCATTTGGCAACAATTCTATGCATATGTAAGGGGTACTTTTGTTTTCTTAATTTATCTCTTGGGGTCTAAAAGTTGTACATTGCTCTTTTGCAACAACTCGTTTCGTTAATAAACCACTATTTTTGCTATTGCTATATCAATCAGCTGTCTACAATCTAATGTTAATGCATTAGCTTGACTAAGCACTGATCCACAGAACACATAGCTCCAAATGTATATTCATTTTGCCAAGTGGGATTTGAATATTGATGGCCTGCCAAGCTGGAATATAAATGGTGATGGTCTCTCAAGCTGCCAGCAGAGGGACAAGCTGCTTTGTACAATAGAATTTGTTCTAGCTGCTATGTTACTCTAGAAAAATACAGTCCTGTGAAAATATTTACACATTATTGGCTAAAATACACATATACGTACATATACATACACACATATGTGTATTATCACACTTATATGCACATTTTACGACATCGCTTGTAAAGTGTCCAGGTGTTAAACATGAACATTACATGTAACTGCATCCACGTTCTATTGAAGGGATAATTACACTTAAGAGATAAGAGTGTTTTTATTAAAGCCAAGCTGTCATTTTATAATCTTTAAGAAAAGCTCTTTTGGCACACAAGATATACATGCAGACAGTTACCAACGACTCTGTCCCCAGTATTAACACCCATCTTCCTCATGGCAGCTGCAAACAGGGCGACATTCCTTCTAAGCTCTTCAAACGTAACCTTCTCCACATTCTCCTTGCCTTCACCTGAGAGGAATTAGGAGTAAAATAAATAGAATTACCCCTGGACAGAGGTTGAAGACTACATAAAAATGAATGGCAAGTGTTTTAAATAGACAATAAAACAATACATACACACAACACTTGTCAAATTGCTATCATATCTATAAATCAATAGGTACATTAAACCTGAAATGGTTTTCTCCTCAAGTTAATGAGATGAATGTGTACCCACTGCAAACTAGATTTGGCAAATTACACTCATTTGTGGCCACTCACTGACAGAAAATTATATTGTGTTTGGGTAACACAATAAAAGCCAAATGGACTGTTAACACAATCCAGTGATGTCAATACATATTTAGTGTCCAAATGAGGTGCCATGTTACTAGTAACTCCACACAGCTTTTAAAAAGAAAAAAGAGGCTACAAAGGTCATGAGACAAAAAAAAATGATAAGAATGTAGAGGAGCGGCAATAATTTTCTTTCCTGCACACACAGTCAAAGGGAAAACAGATATTAGAGCACACACACCTAGTTACAAAAAATAAAAACTCCACAAATTCACTTTTTAACCCTTTCACGTCTGCAGAGGCCCCACAGTCTATATTCCTTTGACAGTACTGGGTAGAGGTTGGGAGTGACACGTGGCCAGGAGGGATTAAGAGAAAATTGTGATGATAGGCGGACTTCCAAGAATGAGTTTAAAGGGTATTAGAATTCACGTGAAGGAGCCACGCCAGTCAGGCTGAGGCAAAACGCTGCATCAAATCACATAGCTGAAGATGAAGTGTTCTGTAAAAGCACTGATTCAGGGATAACAGATGGTGCTTATATTATTATTATTATATTATTTATATAGCGCCAACAAATTCCGCAGTTAAGATTCTGTCCAGTTTCAAGAATGCAGCAATAGTAGAGCAGAATTTGCTTTTGTTTGTGCCACACCTATAACATGCTTCCAGAGAATTTGAATTCAAAAGGGGAAAAAATATCTTACAATATACACATGTACCTTTTTTTGTATGTTGTTAAAGAGCATATCAAGTTGCCTATACCTGAGTGTAAATGCTGACGTCAGTGAGTGGGTATGACATCAGCTGTGCAAAGGTTTATCAAGTGCTAGAAATAACTAACACACACTGTCACAGGACACGATGACACCGATTTAGAACTCAAGGGTAGCAAGACAGAGGAATGGGTAAATCAGAGATGAATAATTCAAACTCTCTTTTTTCCCCCCACTAACTATATTTACAGGTGACAAATATTTTTTACACGTTAGCTAACATTATATCAAAGTTGTATTTAATAAAATGCATTATTTATGTCTCACAACCCTGCACAACACACACTGCAATATGTTAGCTATGTGCACTAATATGCCAACAAATCTATTGTCTCCATGCTTACAGTCTATGCTAAATCACCGATACCTAGTGTATAACAGGATTTAGAGAAAAATTACCTAAATATACAGATTGTGTAGCAAAATAAGCGTTAAATAAAGAAACTCTTTCTTGCTCACAGGTGACATTGAACAAAGGGGAAAAGGCTCTTGGTATGTTTGTGCAATGTAATTGGAGTTCATGTATTTCCTGTGACATTCAATTAAATGTACCTTCTTTGTATTTTCTTTCTACCTGTAAAAGAAAAATGATAGTACTGCTACCAGGATTTTTTTTTTTTTTTTTTTTTTCTTTATTTTTGCATTGTGCTTGCGTTTACATACATGCTTACTCTGCCACAACAGCAGGAGTCATAATTTTCAAGCGGTTCAGTTGGTGTAACATTATGGCATTTGAGGTTTGCGCACATTTTTATTTTTAGTATAAGACAAGAGGTAAAAGGGTGTGTGTCAGCAGGAGTGGTGTGTGGGGGTGACAGTTGTAGTTTTCAAGGTTACAGGGTGCTGTATTACAGGTGTTCATGTGGTGTTGTGCCAGGATGTCACCTACTATGAGTGATCAAGAGCTGTGTGATGGTTGTGTTCAGGTGTATTATGTCCCCGGGCTCGTGGCGGTTCGTGGTGCCGGGTTGCCCAGCTCACTGTTGAGGTTGAGTATGATAAAGTTGCTCAGCTTGTCTTATGTGAGCGGGTCTTGTGTCAAGATATCTTGGTCAGGCTGTGGGTGAACGTGCGTTTGATGTTGGTGGACTGGGCACCCATGTGTCTAGGGTTTCCCGGAGGATGATGTACCCCTGACCTAAGGGGCTGGCGGGGGGGGGGGAAGCTTGTGGAGCTTCTGCTTCCCCGACCGTTGTGTGAAGCTGTTGGTGTATATCGGTCATCTATGGGTTAACATTTACCTGCGTGCTGTCAAGGGTGTGAAGCGCAGTGACATATGTCGCACAAGGCAATAACAATATGGTAATTATATACATAAGAGAGGAGGAAAAGGAAAATAATATATATTAAACTTTTAAGAAGAAACATTCTAAAGGAAAACCATAAGTCTTCCGTGGCTGGAGCAGTCATTTACACCGTCCCGTCTCCAGGGACTTTGTGTGGTTTCTAAGAGTTCTTTCTAGCCGTTGTCATTCAGGTGGCCCGGTTTGTCGGTATCATGTTTCTCGGGGTGAATGGTACAGTGTCTGGATCCCATCTCTGTGCAGGGGTCTCTGCTGTGTCGTTTCTTGCCGATAGACCCATCTTGGTGAGCACCGCAGGTACTTCTGTGGGCGTGGAAACTCTGTGCGTGGTCCCATTGTGAGTGATTAGCAGGGATCGAGGTGCACCCCAGCGGTATGGCACCCCTGCGGAGCGCAGTTGGTTTGTAAAGTGGGACAGTGTTCGGCGCCACTGAAGGGTGGCTCTGGTTAAGTCCTGGAAAAATAACAGCTGTGCGTTTTCAAAGGTCAAGGGGGTTTTGTCCCGTACTGCCGACATGATGTTGTTTTTGTCCTGTGTGGTGGCACAGCGTAAGATAACATCCCTGGGAGTTGTGTTGGGCATAGTATTCGAGGGTGGGAGCCTGTAGAGCCCATCAAGGAGCCTCTTCCTAGCTGTTGCTGGCGGTAGAATGGTGGCCAGAAGCCTTCTCACATAGTGAGGCAGTTCATCAGGTGTGATGTCAGGGGGGTATCCCTCGTATTTTAACGTGATTGCGCCAGCTCGGTCTTCGTGGGTCGACAGTTGTAGGGAGAGTCCCATTTGGGTAGTCTGCATTTGTTGTATTGCTTCTTTTACTTGTGTGATGTCTGTTTGAATGTTCACGATGCTCTCCTCTGTCACCCTTACTCTTTCAGTTACTTTTTGTACTTCCCCTTTAAGCAGGCCCACATCTGTGGCCAGTGTCTCCTTGATGTCTTGCACCCAATTAAGGAGGTCCTGTTTGGTGGCCAGTGTGTTGTCAGGTGGTGCCTGTGGTGGTGTCAGGGTGTACTCACTGTTATTCTCCGTTTGTGTGGGAGTATGAGATGCAGCACGGGTCGTTGTCGGAGTTTGAGCCTCCGTGGCCATCTTGGATTGTGCCTGTCTCTGTAGTAGAGCCCCAATGTCAGGCTGCTCTGCTGGGTGTCCGGACTGTGCTTTTTGCGTACGTCTCCCCATATTCGTTGGGGTATCGTTGTGGGTCGGCAGGGGGTCGCTTGATAGCGTATGCTCACCCCGGCTGTACACCCCCCTAGGAAGTCCTCGAGCACGAAGATGGTCGGCGAGGGATAGGCCTTGAGCCTCCGTTTCACCTTGCCAGATCTCTGGGGTTGAAAGAAAGGCATCAATGTGTGCGCTTCGTCGCCCCGATGCCGGTTGAGGTGGGTCTGGCAATCGGTCGGTTCCTTTGCAGGATGTTTGCAGATTTGTTTCAGGCTTGTTAGGAGCAGGCAGAGATGGCGTCCACTCCGTTTCAGGTTCAGGCCACGCCCCCCCCACCAGGATTTATTTTAACAGCCAATTACAATGTTGCGTGTTTCCCAAGATGACTAGAGGAGCACTTCCTATAACCAGGCAATAAATTGGCCACACATTTCATATGGAACTTGGACCTGTTTATAGCTTGTGAATACACACGTTATGTCCTAAATGTTTCTTAACTCTTGCACTTACCAAAAGATACAGGAGTGCCAAAAGCTGCTTATACAATAAACTCAAATTCACATACATTCCTGCTATAGTTCTAATAATGTCTATTTACACCAATGCTCTGTGGTGGTAACGTACTAATCAGTGGTTTTGTGGTACTTACGGGCACCATACAGAGCAATTTTGTCATTTTCTTTGTGTTTAAGAAGATTCTCTGCGTAGTTCAGACGGCTGCCTCGAAACCACTCAGGGATATCAGCAATTCCTTTCGTCCGGTCAATTACCTGAAGAAAAATAATTATTGTCTTGCATTAGCAATGGACTCACATTTACATTCAGAAATTTCAGTGAAAACATATTATAACACAAGAAAAGAAGGAACTTGCCTTTGAAAGTGCTTACACATGTGGCCGAAAGTATTAGTACCTTTGCCTTTTTATTTTAATTAAATACTGTAATGCACAATTTGACCTAAACTCCAACTGTAGCTTGTCATAACGTATGTTGAGAAGCCACAGTCGTTCTGGGAGAATGTCCTTTAGACAGACAAAACAAAAGTACAGTATTATGACAAATTACAACTCCATGTTTACATAAAGAAAAAAGAAGCTTTCAGAGAAAAATACATCATCCCTACAAACATGGAGAAGGCTCAGTGATGTTTTGGGGTTACTTTGTTGCCTTTGGCATTGAATGCCTAGAATCTGTCCAGGGTACAATGAAATCAGAAGACTGTCAAGGCACTATAGAATTGAAGTGACAGATATGTCAGGGCAGAGGCATAACTAGAAACCACGTGGGCCGCTGTGCAAAAATTGCCCTGCAGCCCCCAACCCATACATCTACCCGACACACGTCCCCGCCCCTCCCCCCCACATGCAGACAAACAGATACACACGCAGACACACCCACACAGAGACCCATACATACAGACACACACACAAAGTCACATACATACATACACACAGATATACTGATACAGACATTCTCTTTCACACACACACACACAGACACACGCGCCGCAGCGCTGACCGGGCCCCAGGAAATCCATTGCCATTGGGTGGCCCCAAGAGCACAGGCCACCCAATGGGCTCCTTCAATGCAGCCCCGGCGGTTTTTCTGCGCGGTCAAGGCCGCATCAAAATGCTGGAGGAACTACCTCAGTCACAGGGGTCGAAAGGGCGACCTGGCCCCCTGGAATGACGGGCTTGGTCGCAGCTGCGACCCCTGCGACCGCGCTAGTTCCGCCAGTGTGTTAAGATAGAAATTAAAAATGTATATTGTAAATCACCATTAAGCAGAGATGACTCCATTTTGTAACAAAAATGCAAAGACAGACACATTTTTATTTCTGTAACTCTAACGTAAACACTGGCCAGAGATAGAATTTTTTTTTACTAGACCTTTTTTTACCACAAACACATATTGTGGCGAAAAGAACCTCGCCACAGGCTCCTGGAGGAGCCTGCTTGCCAGCCTCTTGCCTCAGGACTATGGGTCCTGCAATATACCTTGCCCAATGCACTTTAAAAGGCTCCATTCATGTAATTTATGTACTTTTGTACTCCAGAAAGACTGACTGTTAGCCCTGATCGCATGGAACTGTTTTGGGCATAGGACCATGTGAACTGTCTGTCAAATAGTTGACTTCCATGAAAATCCCGGGTTTTCATGTGTTTTGGGGGTATTTTGGGGAATTTGTTATATTGCATGTTTCTGTACTGGGAGATAATTAAATTATATGTTGTGTGCTCAGGTAATGATCTCTCAGGCACAGAGGAGGAATATGTTAAATGTTTGCTTATAACCAGTCTCCTCTCAGGTCCAGAGGGGATTTCCCCTGGAATATGCACCAGGAAAGAAACCTCTTGCATGGGGACTCACATAAAAGGCCGTGTGTGGCACCCATTATAACAGTTCCACTTCACCCTTAACATAGAGCCTTGTCTCATATGTAGAGGGGACAGTTATATTCATTATGGGGATTGCTATAATCACTATACTCCCTTGGATTATAATCACTTGCTCTTTAAAGCACACACTGCTACACTCTCTTGGAGGAGAGGTCGTCTCACTGGAAGTTGGATCTCTGGCTTGGGTCCAGGGTGGGTGGAGGACAGCGAGACCCCAGCTGTAACGCTGGCCACAGGGACTGCAGTAGTTATGGTGTCGGGTGGAGTGCTTGGAAGTACTCAGGAGTTACTAGGAAGCAGTGATTGGCGGAGGCACCCTGTCGGAGTGCGAGGGGGTCCGCCACAGACACATATCTAGATATACACTATATATATATATATATATATATATATATATATATAAATAAAAGTTGCAAAAGATAGCACTCCAAGGACTTATCTAAAATTGAACTTTTATTTTACCAATAAAAATCAAGTCAACGTTTTAGCTTGATCCCCTCAAGCCTTCTTCAGGACATATATATATTAGCACCAATGTTAATATTATTGATCATTCATGGATAGTATTCTACCAATCTACTTCCTTTCGTGTTACTTTACCCCACTCCCTCTAGCATGTAAGCTCATTGAGCAGGGCCCTCCAACCCTCTGTTTCTGTGTGTCAAACTTGTCTGGTTACAATTACATGTTTGCTAGTCCACTCATTGTAAGACGCTACTGAATTTGCTGGCACTATATAAATATAATAATAATAATAATAATAATAGAATATCAATAAAGAAATGTCATATTAATAAACTAATATTAGTGGAATGTGTGTAAGAGACATGTGATATCACATGTTCTCACATTATTAAGTGCTACACACATAGATTCATACAAAAACCAGACACAGGATTACAAGAAACAGATAACACTAAAAGTAATTAATTTTACTTTTTAAAGTTAAAGAATTGATACAGAGCTCCATTATTAGAGAAGGTGAAACCAAGGCTAGATGTGTCAAAATCCATTTTTATGGCCCAAAACCCAGACAGTCAGACTAAGAAAATTCTTTAAAGAATGACAGGTTTTTGATGGATGGGTACCATAAAGATTAGGACTTGTGACATTAAACGCATCACTAATTCAGTTAATCCCTGAAACAAAGTGGTAGTTCTACTTCCTGACAAGAATTTCTTGTGGTGTTACTACGCCATCTATTGACCAAAGTCTAGATGATAGTCTGTAGGTAAGACACGCCCACCTTACTCTATTGGCCACTTTAAACAAGTGACGTAAAGATATTGTAGGGAAGCTTCTCCTTTAAAAATTGGGGATAGCTGAGAGGAAATCTGAGATCTGGAGCAGGAGACAGGGACACACCTAACACTATCTCTTCCAACTAATTCTGGGACTCTGAAAAATCTTCTCCAACTGAAACTTTGAAATTCTTTAAAAATCAGAACGCTGATAAATGTCCTATTTCCCACAATTCTCTATACCAGCAGTTCCCAAACTGTGTGCCATGGGGCGCTGCGACGTGCACGCAGGGGTGCCACTGAATGTTTCCCTGGTGCTATAATTATAGCACAGGGGCAACATGACTACTGAACAGGGGCCCGGTCGGGTGCCGCGGTCCTTTAAGACCACGACCGGGCGCATGTGACGTCGGCCGGCTGGGAGGAAGTGACAGCCTGTCACTTCCTCCCAGCATCCTGCAGGGAGACAGCGCAGGATGAGGTTGCCGCAGCATGAGGGGAGAGGATCATGAAGAGCTCCAGACCACTCTCCTACAGCAGCAGAACTCAAAGCCACCCTTCTGGCACAAAAGGTAAGCTGGAGGTGGAGGGAACAGGAGGGTGGCTGGAGATATTTTTTAAAATCACTTGGATGAGTGTGTGTATGTGTTTGAATGTGTGCACATGCTGGGCTTTTTGAAAGTCCTATGATGGACTGAAACATCGATTTGCTGTAACCCTTTGTGTTATGAATAAAGCCGAATAATTTCTTCAAAAAGCCCAGCGTGGGCACACATACAAAATCATACACATACACACACTCATACTCATACAAGTGATTTTTAAAAATATCTCCAGCCACCCTGCTGTTCCCTCCAGCTTACTTTGCCTTTCTTCGTGGAGATTATATATATATATATATATATATATATTACACACACATCAGCGTGCTTCTGTGTCTGCGCACACATCTGTGTATGTGCATCTGTGTGTAAGGGTGTGTGTTTTTATGTCAGTGTGTGTATCTGTGTTATGGTGTGGGCATGTATCAATGTTTGTGCGTGTCAAGGTGCATGTGTGTATATGCCGGTGTGAATGTGTGTATCTATATGTGTATACGTGTTGGTGTCTGATGAATTTGTGTGTATGTGTATGTGTAGGTGTCTGTGTATTTACGTGCATGAATACCTGTGTAAGTATGTGGTAGTGTATGTGCATTCATCCAAGCAGTCAAACACCAGCACAACATACAAGCACACTCCTGCAATCAAACACAAATATTATTTACAAACACACCCCTGCATTCAAACTAAAAAAAATAAATATATATATATATATATACACACAAACACACCCCTTCACTCAACACACAAATACTTCACACAAATGTACATCTGCATTTAAAAGTGAACATTCAGACACACCCCTTCAATCAAACATTAGATACAAACACACCCCTGTATTAAAACACACTAACTATATACAAGTACATTTTCAAACACCAACACTGTACATTACACTATAGCGCCAGTAAATGCCACGGCGCTGTACAGATATACAACCTAGTAATTTTGACTTGGGGTGCCTTTGTAAAATACTGAAATATTAAGGGTGCCTTGAACCTAAAAAGGTTTGGGAACCACTGCTCTATACTCAGACTTGCATACACAATGTATGGAATATCTCCAAGCTAAAAAAAATTCTACCAAGAAAGCTGATAAATATGCTGGTTTTATTTAATTTAATTTAAATTAATACATTTTTAATAAAAGCAGAAATATACCTGCTTAAAGGCTGGTCAGAAACCATATTTGGCTACTGAAATATAGTGCTCCTTACTGCAGGAAAAATAAGTGAATAATTTGTGGTAATAATAAGTGGTAATTTGCTAACTTTAGCATTTCAAAATCTTATCCAGAGATATTTACTTTTCTGAATTTAGAGATAGTAATCTTTAACCCCTTAAGGACACATGACATGTGTGACATGTCATGATTCCCTTTTATTCCAGAAGTTTGGTCCTTAAGGGGTTAATCAGGAAAAGTTAATCTTCTGTAAAGGTAAAAATCTGGTTAGAATTATTCTTAGTGTTTATTGGATGAGAAGGAATGGTTAAACTGATCTGGTACGAGAAATATTGTATTTGTAAATTACAATATAAAAGTTCTTTATCCTGTGAGAATTGTAGCCAGTAGTGAGTGAGTTAACTCAGTGTGATTAAAACTGGCAGCTAAGTTTTTATAGCTGAAAGCTGTGCTGAAAATTTTTCAAAGCTGTGGAAAGTTCTTTGTTAGGAATTGCCTAGCTGATTTTAAAAAAAAAAGTGTCCTGTCTGAAATCTTGTTGAAATTTGCATCTATGTGAATAAAAATGTTGCTATAAGCTATCTGAAATTGTGTCTAAACTGTCGTCATATTGTATACATATGTTATACCTAAATATTCACTGAATGTCACGCATGTTACATATTATATTATTATTAATTATTTTAACAATAAATTATATTTTTATAATGAGTTTGTGATTAATGTGTGAAATATAAATTCTCTAATAAAAAACTTACCCCAGGGTTTATAAGACTTAAAATAGTGGGTAGCTCTTCGCTTTAAAACAATCAAGGGTAACAGTGCCAATATATAAATTTTTGATATAATAAAAATTATTAAATACATTTTTGATCATTTCTATGAAAATATTTTAAATATTTTAAAAATAAAATTATTTTTAATATTTATCATCCCATAACTATCCTCACAGATCGTTGTTTCTCAGTCACAGGTCTTGGGTCCTCCTCAGGGTTATGACCCAAAACATACCTCAAAAAGATTGGATGATAAGAAATTTTGGACCATTCCAAAGTGGCCTTCTTGGAGTCCAGATCTGAATGCCATCGGACATCCGTCGAAAGAGATGAAACTTACTGTTTGGAAAAGGTAGCCAGCAAACCTGAGAGAACTGGAGCAGCTTGCTCCTAGTCGGAAAGTGTAGAAATCTTATTCACAGTTACAGAAAGTGCATGACTGCAGTTACTGTCTCCACAGGTTAAGAGTACCAATATTTTTGTCAGTGTCATTCTCATTCATTTTACTGCTTAAAGTAATATGTGAAGTCATAAATCAAAAGTGAAGTTTCTGTTCAATTACATTTGAAATATAGAATGGTGGACACCAAATACTTCTGTCAATTTTCACTTAGTGCAGAGGAAATTCAGCATTTTCCTTAAAAAAGGGAGAGGAGAACCAATACTTTCGGCCACGTCTGCACAATTTAAAAGTATGAAGGTCACGAACAGGAGCATAAGCATCAAAATGCATATTTTCATTAGTAATCCGACTTTTAAGATGTGTTTTATTATTTCTCTTTCATAAGCAGACAGACTGTATAAGTCAAGCTTGCTGAATGGATCAGTATTACGGTATTGGTGAGATTATGCCTGGCTCACATCCAAAGGCACAGGTACTTACTAATCCATTACAGAGTCACAGGCAACCATGTCTCCAACTATTTCCATAGCATTCTAAGGTTACTGCCTCTCTTCTTTCCAAAGAATGAAAGGGAGGTTGTAGCATATGTAGATGTAGCTATATAGAAACATAGAGGTCTCCATCAAATAGTACTAACAGAGTTACATCCTTATTGAACTATACATGCGCAAGTACCAGCTTAACTTTAAATGCACAGCAGCATGAATAGAGGAGGTAAGGTGATACATGCCTTAAACCAGCAAGTAGTTTTCTCTCAAAGTTGCCTTTGGCACTAAAAAAAAGTGTACCATAACCTTGATGGTACCCACTACCCATGCCCTTTCTCATATGACTATTTATCATCAGACTATTGACTTTTACAGACAATGCTATTGCTTCATCCCAGCTTGTCTGTGTTTGTTCAAGTGCTGTGATTTGAACGACCTTGCAATTGCTTCACCCTCGTCTGATATGTACTCCACCACCTGTTACTCACACATCCGTTCTGTCTATGCTGTTCTCTGCAATTGAATATTTGGTACTACCATTATCTCAACCTGTGAACAAGGGTGGCTGTTAAGATAATAACTCAGTAAATTAATGCAGGCAGTTACAGTGCTGAGGTAGGGGTTAGTGTTTATCGGACACTTCCCAGCCTTAGTTAGATGCACACATTTTATTTAAATGACTAGTGACAGGCTTTTATGATAAATACTTTTTAATACACCCCTTAGTACAGCTCTTAATATTTGACAGACGGATTGTTCCATGCTTTTTTAGTTTACATTCGTGAATGTAATGTTTCCTGCTTGTTATGTACTTAAAACCTTATCTTGTCTGTATAACAAGCTTTTGAATATATTTAAAGGGACACATCAAAACCATAACAATGTATATTACTAGAACAGGTTACAGCACTAGGAGCACTGACATGTAACTGCTGCAAATTGCTCCAGTTATAAGTCCACCCTGTTGCTTAAATGTGTCACAAGTGAAGCTGTTTAAAATCCCTCTACATCCATTTTTGAAGGAGTTAAAGACATGGCTACCAGCTATCAGCTTTTCACACAGTCTGGAGGTAAATACAACCAAAACAGCTCCTAAATCAAAAAGTCACTCATCTTTAGGATATATTAATGCATAGGAGTTGTTACAGATTCATTCTGTGTATGCAATCTACCAGGTCACTGTTACTGAACTTGATTCTTCAAGTGCAATAGACATAAAAGCTTTTTAGGGTTTCAGCATATTCTTAAGTGTTACTTTAAGTGAATTGTTTCAATGCACTTACAGCAAGTCTATGGAAGGGCTGACCTTCCGCACTACAGCAAAACACTAAGCATTTTGCAGGGTCACTGTACTACATCTGTGAGTATTGCCACAGAGTGATGGGAGTAAGATGTTTTGAGAAATTCCCACAAGGTCATTCGACTATTATTATGATATTTATAGAGCGCCGTCAAATTCCGCAGCGCTTTACAATGGGTGGACGAACAGACATGTAGTTGTAACCAGACAAGTTGGACACAGGAACAGAGGGGTTGAGGGCCCTGCTCAATGAGCTTACATGCTAGACTATAATGCCATCTTTCATTTCTGGGGACATCCGTAAACCATTCAACCATTTACCCTCCTATCTTGTCACCAGAACTGATAAGTGACATTGTTTTACCATAATACACACTTCATAATTATGTATTCTCTCTCTCCACCAACCTTATATCAGAAACAAAGTTGTTACTCTCACTAAGGCTAAGCAGACTGGGCAATGAAGTCCAAGTGCTGTCCAAAGATTAAATAAAAACTAACCCTGGCCCTTCATACTCATTTAATATGAGTAAGATGCCCTTAAGAAGAGATGAGAGTAGCAAACACTTTGGGGGAGGAACAGTGCTACTTTCCTGATGGTTCAGTGGTTGCAATGTGATCTATATATGTCTATATCTTTGGTGCACCTCTCTATCGGTTGTGAGAAGACGCTCAAAGTGATTAAGGACACGCTCATGTCATGGCAACAGTGAAAGGTGTGCACCAGAGAAATGCATATACCTCACAGTGCATCCAATAGACCATCATAGACCAAGATCCCGCTCCTAGTGTTGTGGTACCCGTTGAAAGGGAACCGGAGATAAGGAGGAGTGGATAAAAGGGCCCCAAAATTATTCCACATATGCCAGGGGCGACCCTGGATACAAAGTATATATTTTGATGAAGCACGTAATAAAGAATTTTGGAGACCTCCATAAACCAATTTATCTTTGGTCATGTGGTTTATTTCTATGTCTCTAGAACCCCTCAATTTCTGATAATACATTGTTCACCACTATGTATCCTTTTTCTCTGTCTCTACCCTATATTTACTATATAGTGATAAAACGGTCTGTGTTTTCTGCTGACTTTATTACTTCTCCTCCATTTCATAATGTAGCTCTTTGCTCCTTTGCCATTGCCAAAAAAGTATTCCTGCTAAAACTAGGCATACAAGTAAACAACTCAAGAACACTGTAATCAGAGTTTGGCTTGGGTATGTGAAAATGTAAGCAGTTAAAAGGTGAATACAAGACAAACACAAATATTTGAAATAAAGAAGGAAGCGGGGGGGATGAAATCAGGAGGAAAACAAATGTGGTTAAAAAAAAAATGTTGAGCTCATAAAAGTAATACTTATTATAATTTTATTTGTTGTTTATTCAGAAGCATTTTTTGAAGGATTATCCACTAAACTAGGAATGGACAGAAATTCCCCAGTGGATTGCAAATCTTGGACCAAAATCACTGAACTAGAAATATTCTTATAGATCAGCTGTTTTGCCCTAAAATTTGCAATTGCCTGCTCAATAAAGCAACATTTTCCAGATTAGTAAATAATAATCAAGTGTTGTTTGATTTGAAATATGCTAAAGGGTTACTCCAACCATCATAACAACTAAGCATGCTGTATTGGTTATGATATTAGGAGTACTCTGGCGATGTTTCCCGGTAATGGGGCAAAGTGTTTTACAATGTTTGTCCACTTACCTGGTCCTCCCGGGTGCCTAGTCTACTTGGAAGCAGTGTTTACAGCATCTGGTTTCTGCAGGGCTGAAGAATCCAGATGTTGATCCTGCCAGTCATTTTCTGAGAGTATTGTCAGCTGATCGTTCTCAGCCAATGAATGAATGTCTGCAACTCTAAATTTGTACAGAATTGACATTAGTCAGCCTGGCTAGTTGATGGTACTACCATGATGCTGCCAGAGATTGAGGTACAAGTCTGGTAGCAAATGCATTAAACTCTGTATATGCAGCGTTTAACGGCGAAACACTGCACATACAAACTCCATGACCACTTTAAATCATTTCAATCACTAAAGTGGTCATGGTGCATGGGGTAAGCCTTTAAGGAAAATCTCTGTTATGTATAGTGACTGATGTCATAATTTTGATCGACCTACATCAGAAAACATCTGAAAATATTAAATGTATAGAGATGGAAATAGATGCAGATATAATGCAAACCTTTCACATATAATAAATAATTCAGAAAATAAGAATAGCCAAGCAAGAGGTAATGACATAACAGAAAAGATTGATTATAATTGATAAAAATATTATTAATAAATCAAAGTAAATTCATACTTATATGGAGGTAGTTTCCAATACTGCATCTACCATATATTCCTTTCACTTAAAGTTATTTACTGAACAGGAGTGACAGTAAAATCAGACATCTCAAATAAATACCGTAAGCGGAATTGGAGAATCTTTCCAAATTCACTATTTTAGACCAAAATTCCTTTAGCAATTTCTGATTCTGTGAACATTCTCATAAGCATGTTTCTAAGCTGCATTTGTAAACTGTAAATGCTCACAGAAATCAGAGATACATTTACATTTGATGTGCAGCTACAACCAGCATTTTTGGTGTTGACCTTTTGCTGATGTGCACAGAAATGAACACATTATGGGGATTACGTATAATGAGAAATTCCAGGGCAAAATACTAAAAGTGGAGTGATGAGCTAAAACATTCCATATTTTTTCATGGTCACTGCTGCAAATTAGAAGTTCATCCACTAAATGTGGCCATGTGCTTGTAACCTGCCACGGAATATGTTGGAGCTATATAAATACTAATAATAAATGTAATAATAATAATAATAATAATAATAAATTTTAATAATATATAGATAAAACTCCAGTGGGCAAAAAACAAACAAACACATAATAAAAAATAAGGGACAAATATCTATATATATTTACAGTTCTAAATGGTCCTGTACTTGCACAGCACAAGTATCTGTAGTAGACACATTTCGCCCTCACCAGATAGAAGCTCCATCAATCAGGTGTCTGTTATTATGGTCTAAGGGGACTGCACCGCCATTACCTCTGCCCAGCAGTGATTTAAGATACTAGTATATCCTCAGTAGTAATTTTACTCAACACACGTAAATTGAGGATGAACATACCTCGTCATACCGGCGAGAATATACAATGCCACTGAAGTCCCAAAATTCCGCCCAAAACTCTGGATAGCACTCCACAGACCACTGGTATAGATCATTGTAACTTTCTGGAAAAGAGGTGTAATAGACTATCAATTACAGACATGTACCTCAAAGCTGTAACTTCCAAAACAGGTTCCTACCTTACATTTTACTTCTATTTATTTTCACCTTTGTATCCTTTGAAAATATTACCAGTAAGTTTCCTGTAGTTTTTAAATATGTTAGACAAGATATGTAGACTAAGAATGTTCTACTTAAGATGTTGGATTACAAAATTTAAACTCCTTAGAAGCAGACTTAAAGGGCAACTCCCACCACCTTTAACCCTGCAAGTGTAATCATTGCAGTTTTTCCAAACTGTACTACATTACCTTGCAGGGTTAAGTCCTCCTCTAGTGGTTGTCTGTCAGACAGCCACTAGAGGGACCTCCGTGTTTTTAGCACATGAAAAGTGTGTTATACGACGCTGGACGTCCTCACGCTATGTGAGGACCTCCAGCGTCGCCGAAATCCCCATAGGAAAGCATTGAAAAATGCTTTCCTATGGGGAGGTCTATTGCACATGAGCGACCATTTCCGCGCATGCGCATTAGGTCTCTCCCACCGGCTGACGTCGGCGGGGGAGGAGAGCAGGCGGAGCCTGACCCAGCGCCGAGAGACATCGGTGCTGGATTCCGGTAAGCAACTTGGGATGGGGGGTGGGAAGGAAACGGGCACTGTAGGGTCCTGCAGTGCCAGGAAAACAAATAGGTTTTCCTGGCACTGGAGAGTCCCTTTAAAGAAACACTCCGAATACTATAATCACCGCAATAAGCTGTAGCAATTATGGTGTCAGGAGTTCCCTGGCACCGTAACAATGTAAGTGGTCAAACCATTCTAGAATACTGTCAATTCTTATCTGTGCATCTATATGGGTCCCTGACCCCTCTCTAGCTGGAAGTTCTCAGCTCTGACCAAAGCCCAATGGTCCAGGGCTTAGCTCAGTAGAGCCAACAGATTTTCTGGCAGACCCCAAGTACGAAGTCAAACCGTTTGAATATGATTTAACTACTTATATTGCAATGGCATCCTGTACGGGTTGGAACTTTGAACACTGTCATGAATTGAAGGAAGTCAAAAATGTAAGATCAAATAAAATTACATGCAACAGATAAAAAAAGATCATATAAAATGGGTAGACTGAATGGGCACAAAGCTTTTTGCTACACATTTCCTCATAATTTTTGGTTTTCTCCCACCTATTCTTTAGCTTAACATACATAAATGTATTTGGAAATATGGGAAAACAAAATACAAAAGTACTTCCCATCCAATAAACATTTAAAAATAATAACAATAATAAGTTCTTAGTAAAAAAAAAAAAAGTAATACAGTGGTCTTTATCGAAATATAAAATTGTAAGTTTTATGGCATCAAAAATTACAAAAGAAAATTATATACTTAAAGTGTGTACCTCAATGAACCCACAACATGAGCAAAATTTAGGGAACCATAGCGGATTTGGAGAAATTCTCCAGCTTAGCTATAGCCACAGCTTGTCCATTTTAGGCCGAATTTTGACATTTGTATCTCAGTTTACTACACTTTGGAGTTTAGTGAATAAACTTTAAAGTGAATTTCAAAAGCTAAACTGGAAAAAGTCTTTAAGACAGCTACATTTTCAATTCAGCTTTACTGGCCTACAATATAAAACTCACTTGTGAATTCACATTACCTTTAAAAATTTAAAAATGTAACACTTCAATGAATAACCCTTAACAGTGCCATCACAACTGCAAGAAAGAAACAGAAAAACAGTCATGCACTTAGTCATATTGACCTTTACTCCAAAAGCAACAGATTTCTTCCACATGCCAGATTGACTTCACTGCTAGTTGCCAACTGTCGTGTTTTTTGCCAGGGCAGTCCCATGTTCTCGGCTCTGGTGCCAGCAAAACCAAGTCTCGGGACATGTCCTGCATACCTGGTAATTAGACAGCTGTTCCCTGCCACTATGCTGGTAGGAAGTTATTACAATTCAATTTCTCCCACAAGGTGAAGAGTGTGTGGGGAAAGGAGACTAAAAAGCAGCAGGGGAGCTCAGTTACAACACCAGCCAGTGAGACAGCCAGCTGGTCAGTGTGCACTCTGCATGGGTCAGTGAGTGTGTCGTCTGGATGTGCCTGCGAGTGTCCATATGGGTCAGTGTGCACTCTGCATGGGTCAGTGAGTGTGTGTCAGTCTGGATGTGCCAGCGAGTGTCCATATGGGTCAGTGTGCACTCTGTATGGGTCAGTGATTGTGTGTCAGTCTGGATGTGCCAGCAAGTGTCCATATGGGTTAGTGAGTGTGTGTCAGTCTGGGTGTGCCAGTGAGTGTCCATATGGGTCAGTGAGTGTGTGTCAGTCTGGGTGTGCCAGCGAGTGTCCATATGGGTCAGGGTGCGTGTGTGAGTTTGGGTGTGCCAGCGAGTGTCCATATGGGTTAGTTTGTATGTCTTTCCTGTGTGTGTTTGTCCAGGATCTTTTGGCAACCGCACAGCCCTCTAGGGTAAGAAAACCAGGTCAAGACAAAGTCCAGTTTCAAAAAGGCCTCTGGCCTGTTTATTTTCTGTTGTTGTGAAGTAACAGGATACAATGAACAGCAAATCTTCTTTCTCCACAAAAACACCTTCTTTCTCCTCCAAAACACTTCCCTCACTTCACCCTGCTTTAACTGCAGTTATATAGCTGCTCACAGCCCCTACAGGTGAGGCTAATGACCTCGTTAGGCAGTGAGCCAGAACTCTATGGAAAACCTGGGCTGGACTCATGCACAACCACTCTGACAGTGGGTGGAGAATCGGCCCACCCTGCTCTTCCGAATACTCCACCCCAGGGACCCAAATAACAACAGAGGAAAAAACCTACATTTAGACTTAACTTTCCCTGGGGCTGCATGTGCTTACCCACATGTCAGGATAGTGGCTGTGCAAAAGTCTGGGAGCCAGATATACACCCCTGACCACCATCCCCAACACTCTGTTACATAATATATATATATATATATATATATATATATAAAATCAGTGTATGTGTGTATGTTTCAGTGGGTGTGAGTATGTCAGTGTGTGTGTCAAGGATTGCAATCATTCCTTAAATAGTTCCCTTGAGGTATACAGAAAGTTAACTAGTGTTACTTAAATGTATATTCCTGAGACTATTATGTATGTATACATGTATATTAATATAAAAGGGTATTTCTTTGTACTATAATTTATGCTTTTTTTGAAAGAGCATATAATTTCATCTATACATTGTACTAGCAGATTTGCTAGCAAATATATGTATTGGGAGAAACACCTATTTAAAAAGGTATAGCTCTGGACCTGTCAGTCAATTCTTCAGAACAGACTCTATGCCGAAGAACTGACTGACAAGGTAGAGCAGAAGAGACCTCCCACAGGCAGTATTTTTGCTCTCCATGCATAGCAACCACAACACATGTGCTGTGGTTGCTACACTAACCACATAAAAATATCTACATTCAAACACACAGATCCTACACACAAATACCCCAATGCTTTCAAATGCCAACACTACACATACACATTAAAAGGCAAACACTACACAAAAATACACTCCTGCATGCCTACACTACACACAAACACACACACACACACACACATATGGTATATATAAAAAAAAAAAAAATATTCGCTGATTTTAAAGAGGATTTGATTTCCAAATGTTGCAAACTGTGAAGATGTTGCACTAGTTACTCATACGGATTATTGCCATATAGTATAGTCTGTTATTGTAAAACACATACATACTTCCTCTTTACAAGGTTTAAATGATGTCATTAGAGCAATTGCCAAGGTTTTATCATGCACTGCATAACTACAAAAGCCATATTACTTTCTCGTTGAGTAATATACTGAATTCTTCTATATTTATTCATAAAAAGAGGGGAGGATGATGAGAGCAATTTTTAAGGTTAGAGTCTGTATTACACTGACACAAGTGTTAAGGATAACTAAGCCGAAATGTCATGGTAACCCTAAACATAATACTTTCAGAAAATATACTGTTCTTTGCTTCAGTATGAATGGATGCATAGTCTACCTGGGTAGGTAACGATCACAGCTCTTGTTGGCTTGATATACATGGAACAAAATATTTTTTTTAAAGCACAAAGTGTTTACTCAAAGACTATTCTGGTTATTGGAATTTATATTGCTAGTTTCCAACTCGTAGCTACCAGCTTGTGAATAGTATCGGCCCAAATTAATTGGAGTTAAAGTTGTATAGAAAGCCTCTCTAGCGGCTGTCTGAGTGACAATCACTAGAGGTTATCGTAGCTAGGAGACAATGTAAATGCAAAGGGACACTATAGTCACCCAGACCACTTCAGCTCAGGTTTTAAGCCTTCAGAGTAAACTGCTATGTTTACATTGTAGGGTTAATGGGGGTGCAACGCTGGATGCGAAAATCGCATTTAGCATGCAGAACGTACATTGAGAAATGCCTTCCTATGGACTGTTTGAATGTGCGCACGGCCCTTGCCGCACATGCGCATTCCGCTCCACTCGGGAGCTGACGTCAGCGGGGGAGGAGAGGTCACCAGCGCTGGATTAAGGTAAGTGGTTGAAGGGGTTTTAACCCCTTCAGTCCAGCGGGAGGGGGTCCCTGAGGGTGGGGGTGTCCTAAGGGTTATATAGTGTCAGGAAAACGAGTTTGTTTTCCTGACACTATAGTGATCCGTTAAGGGTGCACCTCAGAATAGCAGTGATAATTATTACTTAAAAAAATATGAAAAACAAATACATTAAGCAAAATACCATTCCTCAGTCATGTTCCTAGATAATTAAGGGGCTCTACCAAACAGAACCTACTTCTTTTGGTAAATGGGGTTTGATCTTACTCCATAATCTCCAATATGTATTTCTTTCTCCTGTTCTATTCATTACATAGAAACATAGAAACATAGGATGCATCCAACTGCTAAATAAGCTGAGAGCAACCATATTGTCTCATCTTTCACCCTACTGAAAGCTCTATGGATGAGACTGTGCATATGGGCAGTCACTGCTCAGCCTCTCTGAGACCAGAAAAAGAGTTCTAGGGACCTGCTCACACACTGTACAAATACAATATGGATGGCAAAGGAGCAAGTGTAAATTCACCTTCTTATGTCAGGCACTGGTGAGGAAGGGTCTGCAGAGATTTTTGCAAAGCACTGAAGTTATGGCCAACTATGCACAGAGATGCAATTAGCACTGTAACTTTTAAAATGAGCAGAGTCGCCATCAGGGGGTGACAACCATGACGATGGCCTGGTGGGCCCAGGCCCCACGTGCAGCTGCACCGGGGCCGGCACACTGATAGGGCCCACCAAGTGGCCGAAGAATTTAGGGCCACCCAATGGGCCCTATATCTTCAGGGACCAGGCCCTTTTAAAAAAATTGCAGCAGCTGGGAGGAAGTGAAGGCCTGTCACTTCCTCCCAGCTCCCTGCGCGCAGGAGGGGAGAGAGACAGGCCGCGAGGACGGAGGAGCCACGCAGACTGCCATCAGCCCCAGCCACTCTCCTGCAAAAAAGAGTTAGGAAAAATTAGCTCTGTGTGTGTGTGTATCAGTATGTATGTACCTGTATATCTGTATGTATGTGCATTTATGTCAGTATATGTCAGTATGTATGTATGTAAGTATGTCTGTCTGTATGTGTAGTATGTACGTATGTATTGCAGTATGTATGTATGCATCTGTATGTATGTGTATTTCAGAATGTATGTATATGTACGTCTGTATGTAGTTATGTCAGTATGTATGTATATATGTCTGTCAGTAAGTATGTATGTTTGTATGTATGTATGTCCTTATGCGTGTGTGTGTCTGTGTGTCTGTTTCAGTATGTGTGTCAGTATGTGTGTATCTTTGTGGGTGTGTATCCTTTTAGTATCAGTGTGTGTGTTTGTGTGTGTGTTTGTATTCCTGTGGGTGGGGTTTGGAGGTGAGGTTTGGGGGCGGGGTCCCGGGGCCCAGACCTTGAGCAGTGTTAGGGGCCCCAAAATTTCTGATGGTGGCCCTGACAATGAGCACAGACTGTTACTTAGAGCACTTTATTCAAAACACATCAAATTGCAATGAACATACAGGATTATTTATTAGTGAGTATTGTCAGGAATTCTAAGTGAATTTCAAATTTAACACCATCACAAACTGGGGGCCAAGGGGGAGGCGGGGGTGAGAACACACACGAGAACCAACCAGATGGGCAGGCAGTCTAGAGTGCCAGGGGGCACAACTGTGGTTGGGAAGCTGGACATAGGAGCTACATCACTAACTCAAGTTACATTGAAAACTACTAACAGTACACTAATACAAGATAACATAGGCTACACCTTAACACTACCAAATAATACCGCAACATAAATTGCTACGCTTTGATTCGACATATTTGTTGGTTTGTAACCTTCCCGATATTTATGATGTACAGTATAGATTGTTTTCCCTTAACTGTTTGACTTGCCTCTCGAAGCCCTGCATGGCTAGCTGGTTGAAGTATATTTGCATGCCAAGGACCAAGAGCCCTACCTCTTTACTGCAACTTAACAAGTAACGAGAAGTTCAATGAAAATGTTAATAAAAATTTAATTTACAAGAATTTCGAATTTAAGACCAGAATAGACAAACTGGAAGCATAGCTGGCTGGGAGAATTGTTCAAGTTCAGTTATTTTGGCTTTAAAATTAAAATTCACTATAAATTCTCGTCAATTTTTGCTTACGTGAATAACCCTGATAACGGAAACATTTCAAATTGTTGCTTTGGAAACATTTTCAAGCTCAGGTATGGTTACAGCTAAACTAGATTTTTGTAGTTACAATTTAGCGTTTAGTAAATAAACCCAGAAAGTCTTGAAGTGATTTTTAAGAAGCCAGCAAGGACATCCTAATAGATATATCTTGGATGCACTTTATGGGTTTGTGTAACATTATTTATACTTGCACTCTTACACTGCCCTGGGCGGCTTTCTGAGCCTCCACGAACAATGGGGAAGTTTCCCTTATATTATAACATGTCAATAAGTTTACGCATTACTGTGTTGGTTGTAATGGGTTGCATATGCTTTCCACTATTGTACACTATGGACATTTTCTTCAGTTTTGTTCTAATTCTTTGAATAAGGGAATAGCATATGGTGCTTAGGTGTGCTACTGTCTGTACTACTGCATGTACCTGCTATCAAATAAAGAATAAAAAAAAAAAAAAGAGAAACCAACAAGGGTCACGTGCTATTAGTAGTATTATTATCTGATTATAGCTGGATAATCTGGCCTTGCAGGAGTGACTTGGCATATGGGACTCTGGGAATAAACCATTTTTTAAAAAGGTATACAGCTAAATAACAAATAAGCAGATTGCTTTCGTAAAATTTTATATAATCTCTATGTAAAATCACGTATGATTAAACCTGAAATAAAACTCAGGATAACATTAGGTCAGTTAAAATATTATTGACTGTAATAGTTTAGGTTTTCTGATAGCATGAGAACCTTATTAGCTCTATTAACTTGGTGCTGAGTTCCAGTTACTATGTAAATTACACCAACATGAGACACACTCACTCTATTGTTACTACTATAATATTCTATGATTTACTACATGGGTATGCCAGATTGCTATGCAAATAGTTTGCCACCTATGCAATAGTATGTGATCTAAACTTGAATGAGAACTGAGTGAGTACTAACCAATAGGCTTGTTTCAGGCTGGCTGATTGACAGCCTGTAATGAGCCTATATGGGTACACGCCAAAGCAAAATATTTAAAAATCCTTGAGACAAGTCCTTTTCGACAAAAAATATTCACTAAAAATTCCCAACAATTCACACTTAAGGGAACAACAGTCTCATTTTCATTAATTTACCAGTGTTTCACAGATTAGGCCAAAATAGTTGAATATGAAATATTCTACAACACTGAATACCTCTTTTTGCCTAAGATTTGCAGTTCTCTATTCAATTAACAGCTTGATAATTAGTACTAACAGAGGTCAACTGTCAAGTCCAGGAGAAATAGAGACAAATTGACTGTAATAAAGGCCTGTATATATAATTGTATCTCTGCATTTATTATGATCTGCAGTATCTGCAGACCACTTCTGCCCATTAGAGTGTTCTGGGTGCCAACTCCAATCACCCATAACCCTGCAAGTGTAATTATTGCAGTTTTTATAAACTGCAACAATTACCTTGCAGGGTTAAGTCCTCCTCTAGTGGCTGTCTATGATGAGGGCCTCCAGTGTTAGGCACTAAAAACCTATCTATTTTTTGTATTCCTAGCACTATAGTTTCCCTTTAAATAGAGTGTCTGCTTCTAAAGTGCACATTTATTCGCATGTACAAATATTTGTTTAACATACTTAAAGCAGTAAATCTATCTGAGGCAGCAATTGGTTTGACAAATGTAAATCAAGTGTACACTTTACAAACATCTCACATTTGGAAAGAGCAAAGTCTTCTTTATTAAATGTATGCCTACTTGAAAGCAGTGCCTTAACCCTGGATATTTCGCATTGTCCACCTATGGATTTATATAGTAAACCAGGAAAATTATTAACCTAAAATTTCCAATAATTCTAGCTTTGTAAATAATCTTAAACCATCATTCAAATTAGGTTAAAAATGGGATGAAGAGTGCTAAATCAGTAATTATTAATATATATATATTTTTAACAAGTTACAGACCCAAAGGGATTTGCAGGAAACACCTAGACAGGGGAATTCCTATTCTATATGAACAAATATCCTCTATGGAAAGCTTATTTGAGCTTTTCTTATTTTACAGTGTGATTAATTTAGAATGTTTCTTATATTCTGCTCTATTCATTGGCTGCTAATCTACAGCAGCCTTATGTGTGAATAAAGTTCAATTAACAGAACAGGAGACGAGAACTAATAAAACCTTTTTTTCCAATGGAGGGGGTCTGGCTAGGGCTGCATGAAGTGATTTAAATGGAATAAGTATTTTTTTAGGACTATAGGTTCCCTTCTATCCACTCTGCATTGTCTTGTAAAATTTAAATGAACAGTATAGGGTCTGGAACACAAACTTGTATTCCTTACCCTATAGTGTTTAAACTACCATTTAGGTGGCTTGCCTTATTTGCAGCGCCGTGCAGGTCCACCGGCGCTGGCCATGCCCCTGATACGCCTCCTTGCTGACACCATCAAAATTTATGAATCACTGCATCTCTATGAGCAAAGTTCAGTGTCTCCATGTAGAGTGTGGAGACGCTGAACAGCTGTGCTGAACACTGTGCAGCACTGCCCCAGAAAGCGCCTCTAGTGGCCAACTCTCTGAAAAGGCAGTGTTTGCATTCAAATGCCTGCAGGGAATAATTAAGCTAACCAGAACAACTACATTAAGATGCACTTGTTCTAGTGACTATAATGTCCCTTTAAACAAAATAAACTTTACTCCCCTCCATTTCAGCGCTTGAACTACTCTCCTGTAGCCTCCAGCTCCACATCCAGTAACGTCAGCAAACTAGCTGATGTCATCCGCGATCTCGTCCAATCCAATGTTTAGGCTAAAAAAGCATTGGATTGGAGAACAGATGCGCAGCAAATCGGCCTGCTCCTCGAAACCAATGTTGATATCCACAACATTTGATTCTCAGACCAAGTTTTACTCGGTCTGAAGTAGGAAGTGCCTCTGCTGACTGTCAGGAAGACAATAAGAAGTGAATTTAACCCTGCAATGAAAAAAGTACAGTTTCTAAAATGTGTTACATTGCATGGAAAAACTAAAGAGCCAACGCATTCTAACCACTTCATTGAGATGAAGGGGTCTAGGTGACTAAAGTGTTCCTTTAATTACTAAATGGCAAACAAAATGAGAAGTGGTGTGATCTGTACACAGGAGCATGATACACAAAACCATTTAATTAAAGGACCACTATAGGCACCCAGACCACTTCAGATCAATGAAGTGGTCTGGGTGCCAGGTCCCTCTAGTTTTAACCCTGTAGCTGAAAACATAGCAGTTTCAGAGAAACTGCTATGTTTACATTGCCGGGTTAATCCAGCCTCTAGTGGCTGTTTCCCTGACAGCCACAAGAGGCCGCATCCGCGATTTACACTGAGTAAATTGCAGTTATTTGACGCTGGATGTCCTCACGGAGTCCAGCATCAAAAAAAGAACCCCATAGGAAAGCACTGAGTAATGCTTTCCTATGGGCAGGTGTGAATGCGCACGCGCCTCTTGCCCGCATGCGCATTCGGCTCCACTGGGAAGCTGACGTCGATGGAGGAGAAGAGGTCACCAGTGCCGAGGGAGCCTGGCGCTAAACGGTGACTAGGGCTCTATAGCGTTAGGAATACATATTTGTATTCCTGACGCTATAGTGTTCCGTTAAGCTAAAGTTGTAATGGTGCTTAGAGTAGCCTGTAATGTTTATTTGCCTTGTGATTACTTCTATAGATAGAAAATTGTTCTCAAATCACTCAAGATACCTCAATTCTATTACTGTGAATTTTCATTTTTGTTTTGGCTACGGGTTACCACCTTCAGGATAGAATCTTTGTTGCTTGAATACCCTCTGTTTCTGAATCGTTATTGCTAATTCAACTTTTTACATTTTGTAAACAAGGTAAATAATGATGTCCTTTTGTTAAAATAAAGAATGTAAAAAACAAAAGCAAAACAAAAAGATATGCATATATTTTTGACCCAAAACTAGATACATAAATATATTCTGCTGAGCACAAATTAATTAAGACAATGAAGACCAAAGAAAAGTATAGCTTCTACAATAGACAAAAGGGTTCAACTATAAAATCTTTATGAAATGATCCTAAAATGTACTAGGGTTATTCACGAAAGAGAGAATTCAAAGTGAATTTCACATTCAAGGCCAGAGTAGCCAAGCTGAAAGCATAGCTCTCAAAGATAATTTTTTGGGTTCGGCTATTTAAACCTTGAATTTAAAATTCACTTTCATGTCACTTTGGATTCTTAGTTTAATAAATAATCCTATGTGTTGGGCTTTCATTGAAATCCCAACACTGTCAAAAGATATAAGGTAAAGTAGGGACTATTTTGTCTAATGGATGACAAAAGGCGGACGTAGCTCAGTCAAATTTGTCACTTCCCCCTGCCATCTCTAGAAGCGGTTGTGGAAATAAGGCATTGTCTCATTCATTGAGAGACATTATCTATGCAGGTTCTCACAGGGTCCTCAATAGACCTCAGTATCGTACTCTAGCGAGTCTAGGACATACACAAGAGTACAGCAATGATGTGGGCTCCTGGCCTACCAGCCTATGTCACATTCTCTGTTTGTTCAAGCTCCTGCTTTCTGCCCAACTCCTAAATAACTTTTTTCATGAGAGAGACTGTACATCATATGTGTGCAGAGAATAGCTTCATTCATTAAAAACATAAATTAAGCTACACAGCATTCTATTAGCATACACATTAGAATCATTCATGAATGAATTTAATTACTCCTGCATGTTGAAATAAAATACCAATAATCCAAAACTCATGAAGGATTTTATGGGTGCAAACATTATTTTAATAGTAAAAATGGGGTGCCCAGGATTTGTTTTTCTACATTGCCAATGTCTTGTAAATGCAAAACAAAAATTTGCACTCCTTGTGTCTTTATGCTGCTGGTCAATTCTGTGTTTAATTTGGCTATTTTGGTCTGACATTTGAAATTCACTTTGAATTTCTGTCATTTCTCACTTTAGTAATTAAACCTGCAGGTAAGTACATCAGGCTACACTGGGCTACCTGCCTGAACTCTTTCCATCTCTGCTGAGCTCATAACCAGTTGTCATCTTGTCTCTGTTGTCCCACACACACTACACAGAATGCCTAGCTGTGCCACCCACTCCCAGCTCCCCCTGGAGTCCTCCTGTATGGAATAAATATCTCTGGTGCATTAGAACGTTGGAAGGTTAGCAACATTTGTATTCACAGAGACTCTGAGAATAGGTTAATGAGAACATGTATCTGTGGACAATTTTAAGAATTATATATGGCATGCCTTTTAGATGGAAAATTTAAAAATTGCACATGGTGTGGTTCATTGAGGGGTGGCCAGAAGTTAGATCTCCAGTTGTTCTATAACTGCAACACCCATCATACTTTGCCAGTCCTGATAAGGCTAGCAAGCCATCATGGGAGTTGTAGTCATATGTCGCTTTGGGGTACACTTGTTTGGCAAACCCATTTATCTCCCTATTTTCCCGGCTGGCACTCACCCAGATTGAGCCCATAATTGCTGTTGACTCTGGCCCTGAATTGGTCCATCTGTGTAATTCTTTTGGAGTCCGGGTACCACATTACTTTGGACTCCATGATTTCCTCCATCATCTTCTTCTCCGCCTCCTTCTTAGACATGCTGCTAACAGTGTGCCTGACAATCCCCAATCCAGCCCATTCCCTTCATCTAGCAAGCTCTTATTTACATGCTAGCGCTCTAACAGTATCCCTCCGCAGCAGGCATGAACAAAATAGTCCCATATGCCCTTCCCCTTTTTGGGGGGTTTTGTTTACAAGACTTGTTTCGGGGTTTACTAGCTGCGAGCTTACGTGTAGGGTGTTTTGCAATGTACGATTACCTACAACTTAGATCTCATTAACTCTTCGAATGCGGGCAAAAGCTTCACTTCCTCACTTAAAGTTTTATTTACATAGGAGTAAAATCTAATATTTCCACCCACACAGTTATGTAGATTGGTCTTATACTGACAAAGAGAAAAATAAGCAAATTGTAAAACTTTTAAAATAGGTTGAAATTGAAAAAGTGTTTCGCTTATTAATCTGTTTTACTAACCTAATGTCCAGTTTATTACTTTAAGCACTGATTTAATTTGTATGGAACCTTTCCAGGTGTTCCAAGTTTGTCAACTGGGTATGTGACTGGCTGAGCATCATGGGAGTTATGGTAGAGAGTAGATGAGGTGCCAAATGAAGGTTACAAACTAACTTGAATTAACTCTTCTGAGAGAACACCATCTGTCACTGAGGCACATACCTAGGCAACCTCCAGTTTCTGTCATTTCCTACATCTGCATTGCTCAACATAAAGTGAAACTGTCGCTTCTATGGAAATTACACCTTTGAATAAAATACTGAATATTACCTATATCTGTGTTTAAAAAAAAAAACACTTATAGCTCTAAAACACCTCAGCTTGCTGAAGTGCTTTGAGTGTTGACAAAGTGTCTCCTCTTTGTCACTTTATAAAACTGTTAAATTTCAAGATAAATTTATTAGATAAACACTTATTGTCTAGGTTAGCAGTTGGCACCTTTTGTGAACTACAGCTTCCATAAGGCTCTTACATCCATAATACTTGCAAAGCATCAGTGGAGATGTAGTCCATAAAATCAGGGGTGCCAAAGGTTGCCTACCTCTGGTTTAGGTTGTACCCTCCCAGCTGTCAAACAGCTGATTGGGTGTTCTTCCTCATTAGCTTGGTGCATCTGCACAAAGCAGATGTGATAGCATCTACTTGGAAAGTGTTTGATTGCAATGCATGCATGCTTCTTCCCAATTCTTCTCTATGGAAAGTATTTTTTTGGCCAGGAGATCATCAGTATTTATAATCTCCCCAGACAGCAGTGATGAAACCCTTTCAAATCTGGATTAGAGTTAAGTAACTCCTTTATTTGGGGAACAGGGGGCCCAGTAAACCCAATTAACAGTACAACACTCCAGCATCATAATAAATGTATTCCTTTCGCCTTTTTATCATGTGATGCTCTGTTTTCTTTTTAAAAATTATATTAAAGATTTATGAAGATGGCATCACAATCCAAGCACAGACAGGGCACATAATGCAAATGAGGAAGAGAACAGAAACATTGTTTTGTTTTCTACGCTATGTTCTATGGCAGAAATTTACTAAATTTATAACAATGATTGACAGGGAGCCAAGATGGAGGCTACCTGTTCCAAATTGGATTTGTGGATTTCTACAGTTGTGAATTTCTACAGTTAATTTTCAAACCTCACAAAAAAAAAAAAAAATTGTTAAACATAGGGTATAAGTAAACATAATATTTGAAAATCCTGGCAGGCAACTGGAAGGAGCCATTTAGGATTCCTTTCTTCTAGAGAAATTCCTTTCATCTCATTTTCAGACAGCCATATTGGCATTTGCAGACAAACCCCAGCACTCTAGCCTAAGTCTTTCTCAGTCCCTCGCAATCTAAATGACGTGGACATCCTCAGGCGTTCTAGCCGTGGTTGCCTAACTCATGTATTCTACATGCACCAGGCAGTCACTGACAATCTAACAACAGCATAGAAAAGCCTGTTCCACCCAACACTGTATATATCCAGAAATAAAAAAATTGTTCCAGTACGCCCTTATAAAGCAGTGTTCCATCATTTAGGTGCCCAGATTGTCAAGCTAATGCATAACATACAGTGATCCCAATAAACACCCATACACAGGAATTAGGAAGGTACTCACATAATGTACTCACAAAAAAGTAGCCATACCAACAAAGTGCTAACCAGTGCTAAAAATATTACAAGTTAAAGGGACAATATAAGCACCTAGTCTGGGTACAGTGTCCCTTTTGCACTTAGTGCTGCAATGCTGCAGGTGTATGTTGCTACATGTTTCAAGGGGATTTGTTGCGAAAAATGGTACATTTGGCAGTGTCCAAATTCCTCTCCTCTCACCAGCTTATACAGGAATTAAAGGGACACTATAGTCACCAGTACAGCTTATTGTACTTGTTCTGGTCAGTATAATCATTCCCTTCAGGATTTTTTTTTTTAGTAAACACTGTCTTTTCAGACAGGCTGAGGTCATCAGACTTGACAATCTCAGCCTCCTACACCACTACATTTGAACATGTTACTGTCTTAGGGTATATAGGACATAGTGTTAACTGATCCTTTATACTATTCCCAGTTTAGGATCGTGAATTACTCAGGTTTCAGCTAATTGTTGTGAGGATATTTTTGCAATTGGATAAAAGTACTTTGAGTATCTTTTGCTAACAGAGAAGGTAATCTCTTCCATTTGTCTTACAAATTCAACCTTATGTATCCATTCAATGAATGGGATATCAATTTGGCTGTGGCAGTTTTGACATTTGGTATGGGCGATAAGAGTAGAATGTATTGAGGAGAGAAAGGAATCTTTGAGGTGGTGATCGTCTGTATCAGTGTGTGAGTACGTTTCCAGAACTTTTGGATCTCTGGACAAAGTCGCCATATATGTGTCGTATAAGCATTATGTTGGTGACATCTCCAGCACTTGTCTGAAGCAATGTTGTAGATTTTGTGGATTTTCGTGGGCGTATAGTGTCATTGCGCAATGCATTTATAGTTGCTTTCCTGTGTGCTTAGGTCAGTGGATGATGTGTGTATTCTCAGGAGTATTGCTTTCCACTGATGTCCACCCGTAATTCCTCCATTCATTTCAAAGAAAAGTGCGGAATGGTGTGTGCGTTTGCTTCTACCAAAAGAGAATACATTGTCGATAGAATTTTCTTTTTTTAGTGTGTGTTGCTGGCATAGCATTTCAAATTTTGTGAGCTCTCTATTCCCTCTCGGAAGGAGGTTAGTGCTGTGTATGAAATGAGATAGTTGTTGGATGCCCGTAGCAGCCTGATTTGGCAGCAGTTGTGAAAGGGTTTTTATCCCATTCTGGTGGACCATCTCCTGGAGTGTTAGCACTGGAGTGTCGTAGTATAAGTGGAAGTTAGTACTTGATCGCCCCTCCTGAAACAGGGGGTTATGAGTGAGTGGGTGCTTAGGAGATGGGTATGGAGATATGCCCTTAAACTGTCTGGTCGTGTCCCACATTCTAAATGTGGCGAAGATGGCCGGGTGATGTTTAGAACGTATGTATATATGGCCTGTTTCGTGCCACGGGATTGTATGTATGGGAATCTCAAGAAATGTATCCTCAATTTTAACCCACTGTGTGCTTGTGTTTGCATTCGCCAATTCGTACATCCTTGAAAGGTGGACGGCATTGTAATATTGTACTACACTGGGGAGACCCAGGCCCCCTTCCGAGCGAGGTCTAATAAGAAGTGTGAGAAGTGAGTAGGCCAATTTAGGGCAACACTATACATGTTTGTGTTCCTGACCCTATAGTGTTCCAATAACTTTTGTTTCCAACGTATTGCAAAATGAAAGGTGACCAGCAAACTGCTAAAACTTTAGCTTTTGTAGTGGTGGTTCCCTTTGCTAATAATTAAGTAATCAAGGACATTTGATTAGCAGCACGTGTCTGCTAGTTATCCTCTTAATTCCTATGGAAGCTGTAAGGTTGTACTTAGTTTTTCACAAATGGTGGCTCCAATTTTGCTTAATTTTTGTTAAATAAATCATGGCACGGTGTAATATGTTATGTGTTGTTGTTCATCTGAGGTTCTTGTGACGGACAGCCTGGCACCCCGACTGACTACCTCCGTCAATCGCTGCTTCCTAGTACTTGCGAGCACCATAAGCACCACACTAGAACACCATAACCACCATAAACCCCACAAACCGCCTGGTTGGGGTGTCATTGTCCTCCACCCACCCTGGACCCAAGACCAGGATTCAGCTTCCAGTCGGTAGACCTCTCCTAGTCGAGAGAGCGAAGCAGTTTGCTCTTACAAGAGCAAATGTTGTGATCCAAGGGAGTATAGTGATTATAGCAATCCCCAGAGTGAATATAGCTCTCCAATCCCCCAAACATGAGCTTAGACTTCATGAAGGGTAAAATGAATCTCTTTAATGGCAGCCACAACTGGCCTTATATGCAGGTCCCGATGCAAGGGGCACTCCCCCCTGGATCAGAGAGTAAACTACAGTAAAAACATATACACTATTACATTGGCTCTCAGGTCCAGGACACTCCCATACAAAATAGGTCAATCCCCCCCTATGCTCCAGGCACAAAAAATACAAATTTTTACAAAGCCCCCAAAATAAATAATTGGGTAATAGTAATTTTGGCACTAATTTATGTTAAAACAATTTAGTATTTTAAACCATCCCTTTCACTTTTCACTATTTGCATAATAATAGAACACCATATTTCTTTTTGTGCGAACGACAGGACAAGAATTTACGCAGCTCGTGGTAGATTCAAGATGGGGAAGCCTCAGGTACGGATATGTCCTTTTATCATTCCATATTCCTTCTGGAATATTTGTGAAGTGGCTGGGGATTTAAATAACACAGAATCATATAATACAGGGGTAGGCAACCTATGGCACGTGTGCCATGCCCGGCACTCGAGGTGTCTTTGCCCGGCACTCAAGGCTGCTGGAGCCAAACAGGCTCTGGCTTATCAGGAGTCCCAGTGAAACTTCAGATATCTGCTAATACGAAAAGGTGGTGAAGGACAATCCTCAATTTATGCATTGCAGAACGTAGAGGAAGTGATCTCAGATCACTTCCTCCCAGCACTTGTGAATGGGAATCCACACTGGAGTAGAGTAGCCCGCAGCTGCTGTTGCAGCTCTTGTGATTGACCTGTACCTGGCAAGCCTGGTCCCCACTGGAGCCCAGGGAAGCCACCCACACTGCTAGATATACACAGAAATGCAGAATAACCCTCCCCTCATACAAATAATACGAACAGCCCACCCACACACATACACACAATCTGCACAAACGCAACACAACTAACAATCCACATGCACACAACCCCACATGCAGTCTCTCACATTCAATACCTGAAGCAACCCCACACATACACACACTACCAAACACACTATGTGACATTTTCATCCACACACAATTCCACAAGCAGCCCCCATACACAGCCCACATTCATAGGGACACGAAACCAAAAACTACTCATGAACATATACAATATAATAGCTCATATACACACAAATACAATGATACAAAGCAACTGCAGTATCAATAACACAAGCAGAATACAGCAACATACACACCTCAAGTTAAACAAATTGGACCAGCATGCATGGGACATCACAATCCTATTTTGGCACAGTGCTGCTAAAAGGTTGCCTACCCCTGATATAATAGAACAGAATGTACAAGCCAATATATTTATAT